GAGGTAAAAGTGATCCACTCGCTGATATGATCCACTCGCTAGATTAAACCACGTTAAGTCTTTACTATATATAATATAAATCTATATTTTAGAGATTCTATTTAAATATTATAAATTAATAAAACTATAATATATATAACGAGCTTTGATTCCGGCTCTTCGATACTAAAAAAACAATTCATCTTATTATATTCTCCGAATTGTTTTTCAGAGTATTTCAGATTCTATATTATAGTTCGTCCTCCGAAGATTTAATAAATAATTTAATTTGATAGTTATAAAGATTGAATAATATTCTTAACTATTATTTTTTTAGATTTCATTTTATCGATTAATATAAGAAGTATACTAATATTGAAAACTGAATATAGTATTGTATATAAATTTTCAAAATTTCTTTTATTATTGTATATTGATTATATATATTTTTTTAGTGTTTTATAATACTAGTATAAAAGATTAGATAGAGATTTATAATTCTCTCTAGTATTATATAGTCTATTAAATGAATTATCGCTAATAGATATCTCTAGAGCTCGAGTTATTATTTAAACTTTTATTAGCAAGAGTATTTTATCTTTATTAATAGTAAATATATTCTATAGATAGTCTCTTATAGCTTAGTATAATAGCGCTTATACTATAATAAGCGAATATAAAATTACTCTTAGATCTTAAATTATATTTCAAATTATTAAAATTAAAGATATTCTTATATTCTATAGACTATTATAATCCAGATATTATAATTCTGTTTTCAAATGATAAAAAATCTTTAAATATTAATCTTATAAAGTTTTAAATATTTATTTAAAAAGCTACTAGTAATAATACTATGCTAATTAAAAATAATGATTTTGAAATAGATTTTGTTAATTTTGATTAGATAATCTAAGATTTTTAATATCAAAATCTTGAAATTATTAAAATTTATAAAATATTTATTCAAATCGAATAAATTTTTTATTATTCGAATTCTTAAATTAAGCTTTATAACTCTATATATTTTAAATTCTTTTAATATTATTTATTATTAATTAATATTAATTAATATCAAATAATATCAAATAATTAAAAGAATTTTTTTTCCATATCAAAATTATATTAAAATCCAAAATATAATTTAAGATTCGAGAGTAATTTTATATTCACTTACTATACTCGAGTAGTATAAACATTACTATACTAAGCTATAAAGGTTATATTCATACTAATTTCCACCATGACACAGCCCTGTTAAAGCTTACCTAATAAAAGGTTACTACGAGTTATAATAAATACAAGGTGCATGGATTGTGTTCACTATCTTTCTAAACACAGATAACCTCTCATCTTCATCTTCATCTTCATCTTCATCTTCATTCTCATTATCCCAATTTAATTTTTGGGGTTTTCCACCAAAGCTAGCAGGCATGTCAACGGCAACGGGTTAGAGTTTTAACCCCGCATTGTATCACATCGTATCGTGTACTCGTATTGCGATTTTTATCTACTCGAGTACATACTCGAGTACATATTCGATTCGAGTATTGAAATTGAACTTGGACTTGGACTTGGACTTGAATTTGGACTTGAATGTGAACTTGAATGTGGTGGGGAGTGGAATTTGCGATTGATTGATTGATTGATAGATTGATTATCTGCTACAGTACCTGCTACAGTACCTACCTAGTACAGTACATTGATACTTACCTACTTACCTCCTTTGCTACTGCGATAACCTCAGCGTCCATCAAACCATTCCGCATCCATCCCATCCCATCCCATCCGATCGATCATCAACGATCTCCCAAATCAAATGCAATGCCAGCGCTCCATCTGCGCCAAGAATTCCCCTCTCTAAAAGCATTCAAGGAAGCGCTTCATGCATGGGCCATTGAAGCACATTTTGAGCCGAAAATTCTGAAGAGTGATACGGGGAGGGTGAGGGTTGGGTGTAAGAGGGATACCCAGTGTGGGTTTGTGGTGAGGTGTAATTGGGAGAGGAGGGGGGGGAGGGAACCGTTGGCTAGGGTTACGGTGTTGAGGGAGAGGCATAGTTGTTTGGATGGGGTGGGGGGAGGAGGCGGAGGGGGAGGCGGGGCGAGGGGACAGGGACAGGGACAGGGGAATGGGGGTTGGGATGGGGATGCTGGGGGGATGGGTATGGGTCAGGGTGGGAATGGTAATGGGAATGGGAATGGGAATGGAAATGGAGGAATGGGGATACCCCAAGGTATGGTAGTTGGGACTGGAGAAGGTGAGAATGGACATATTATACCCGGAGCGCGAATCATTGAACAACATAACGGAGGAGGAGGAAATAATGGAATATCAATACCCAGACAGGTAATACCAGTTTTACCGAAAGTACAACGAAATAGCGCGAGTCGATTACCCTTTTTAATGGGCATCTTACCGAAATTAATGACGATTACAAAAGAAACAACGCCAGTGGAGATTCGAGATTGTTTGATGAGGGAATTTGGGGCTGAGGTTCATTTACAACAGTGTAGGAGGGCGAAGACGGAAATTCTTAAGAAAGGGGGGAGTGGGGGTGGGGGTGGGGGACAGGGAGGAAGAGGAAGCTTGGGGAGCGATGGGACGAATGATGGATGTGTGAGTGCGGGTGCGAGTGGCAGTGGTAATATGAATATGAGTATGAGTATGAGTGCAGGAAATAGTACAGGAGGTACAGGTGCAGGTACAGGTACCAACACAACCGCACTACAAACCAACACCCACAACCATAACCACACCCACATCCCCGCAAATCCAATCCCAAATCCACTCCTCTTCCCCGATATTAATACCCACGCCAACGTAAACGCATCATTACCTTTGAATACTGGAGTTTCGGCACCTCAACTTGGTCATAGTAATGGTAATAGGATTGAGGACCCTACACCTATTCATATACCTATAACATCAAGTGGCGGAAGTCCCTCGAGGTTTACTATGCGGAGTGCTGGCTCAGGTGCTGGTGCGCAGCGAATTGTTACGCCGGGTGTGGGTAGTGTTGGTGCTAGTGTGGATGGTTTGGAGAGGGGTTTGGAGAGAGGTGTGGGCGCGGGTGGTGAGGTCAATCTGGATGTGGGGAGTGGGAGGAGTGGGAGTGGAGGTGGAAATGGGAGTGGAATGGGAATGGAAATTGGAATTGGAATGGATCAGCCGGTTAGATGTCCTTTTTGTAGGAATTTGAGGTGGTTGAGGAGTATTGGGGATGCGGTGGATCATTTGAGTATGCATGTTGTTGTTTGATATGAAGGTATGGGGGAAAATGGAAGGGGAAGAGGGAAGAGGGAAGGGGGAAGGGGAAGGGGGAGAGGGAAAGGGGAAGGGGGTGTGGGAGCGGTATAATAGGTGAATAAATAATAAATGAAAATGATCCAAGCTATTGAAATCACTCGGATCCCGGGTGATAAGATGTCAAATATACTCGAGTATGGTCCATTATTCAATAAGATATCATATCATACCATATCATATCATAAAGTGGTTGTAGTTATTGTTGTATGAGGCTATTCCCATTTGATGGCTTCCTATTTTGATGGCGGGAAGGTAGGTTTTCAGATATAATATGCTATAGACATAATAGGCTATAGCATGATTAACGATACAACACAATAATATAACACTCTACCTACCTACTCGAGTAGTAATACCTGCACTTATACTCGAGTATTCCGTTGCGATGATCAGTCAATCAGTCAGTCACCTATGAATATATACGTACTTACTCGAGTACTAGTGGTACTAATGTTTAGATATTACTCGAGTATATTATATGTAAGATTAATAAGACTACATTGGTAGTATAATGTGGTATGTACATATTATTTGAAACTTTGAAAGGTATGTATATATACATATATACTCGCGTAAATAGTTATAATAGTTAGTTATATGAATAACGGCAATCGCTACTAGCAATAGCAATAGCTAAAGCCCCCAATCTAAGTGTATATACAATGCAAAACAATACACCCCTATCTCCTAATACCATACCATACCATACCATCCAACTCCCATCCCATCTCATCCCATCTCATCCCTAAACCACCTTCACACTCCCCACAACCCTCAAATCCCTCGAACTAGCTCCTACACTTAGGGTATAATCTCCCCTCACGACCTTCCAATCCTGGGCCACCGTATCCCACACACTCAAATCTCTTCTCCTCAGCTCAAAACCCAATGTTTCCTCATCCCCCGCTGCCAACAAACTCGTCTTTTCAAATCCTCGAAGTTGTCTTATGGGTTCATCGGCCTCGGCCGGAAATTCCAGATATAATTGCGCGATTTCGTTTCCGGGCACGGAACCTGAATTTGCAATCGTGACGTTGACGGATACGACATTGGTCCAGAGATCGACCTTGCCGCCTACGGATAGAACGCCCGTGGGGTAAGCGGATGCGAGAGCAGTGGAATCAATAATTGCGGCGTCGAGGTTCGAGTATGTGAAATTGGTATAACTCAATCCGAAACCAAACTCATATCTGGGAGTAACATTGTAGGCGTCAAAGTATTTGTAATCGATAAAATTTCCCTCGGTAAAGTTACAGACGTAAGTTTCGCAGAGAACAACATTGTAGTCTGATTCATTTTTCGCGATGGTGTGAGACAGACGTCCGGAGGGGTTGACCTTTCCGTACAGAATATCCACGATGGAGTCTCCGGAATCCTGGCCGAGCAGTCCACCATAGACGACAGCGGTGACATTTTCGTTTTCAATCCATGTGTCGACGATACGGGCACCAACCGTGTTTATGATGACGACGGTGTTATTGCATTCTGCTGCGACTTCAGTGACGAGTGTATCTTGTTCAGTATTTCGAAGTTCGGTGCGATCGGCGCCTTCGCCGGAAAATGCGTTGAGAAATACGAGACAAACTTCTGCATCAGCAGCATAGGAAGAAATGTCTTGACTGAGGGCGGTTCCACCACTAAGCCCAGCAGCTCCTCCCCCTCCCCCTCCTCCACCTCCACCCGTGGTTCCATTTCCACCAAGGTCTGCTGTTGCCTGTCTTCTCATGATGCCGCTGGATATAGAATTGGTATAGGTGTTGTTCAAAATCCAACGAACCATAGTACCGTCGTCCTTTGCTTGAGTAGTGAGAGCATGTTGAGGGGTTATGAGGTAAGGGAAAGAAGTTTGTCCAGAGCCAGAACCACCGGCAATATGACCTTTGTAAATCATCTCAGTTTCATCGATAGTGAATTCGTAGTTTGGTCCAGCCATGACAGGACCAGCATGCGAACCAAAGATGGCCATGCTCATTGGCTTGGAAAGGGGCAAAGCATCATTGGTGTTTTTGACTAGAACCAATGAAGCCGCACCATTTTCCCTCACAATAGCACTGTGATTGGCACGAACATCACGGTATGTAGTGGAATCGACGTAAGAAGGCTGGCTACCGTTATTGAGATTGACATAATAATATGCCATGACATTTCGCATGGCCATATCGTCAAATCGTGCTTGTGACAGAGTGCCGTTAGAGAGACCAGCAGTGATAGTAGCATTACTCCAGAAACTTGAAGCTCCATAGTCAAGACCCCCATTTGCGGAACCAAAGGCAGTTGCTTGGCCATTTTGATCTGGTAATACCATTCCTGGATACCCTAGCTCGGTCTTGAGAAGACGCATCAAGAGATCCGAATTCTCGCAAGAGAGTGTACCATTGACTTCAGTCATGGCGCACATAACAGCACCCATTCCGTTCTTGACACCGTCATAAAATGGTGCGAGGTACGTCTCATGGAGGGTTTTATCATCCGCATTGGATGTATATGGACCGACATCACTACCGGATGCTTGTCGATTTGTTTCTTGCTCATTGAGAACGAAATGCTTGCCTGTAGGAATACTGCAAATAGGGTCAGCTGTAGTAATATGGATTGGAAGTGATGCAGAAGATATAAAATGCATATACTCCAGTAGAGTTGGACATTAGGGAGTGTGATATGAAAGCTCCGATTGAACATACACTCCAGTCTCTGAAAAGGCTTTGACACCGAGTCCAAACATAATACCATTAAGGTAACTATCTTGGCCCATGGTTTCAACAATACGGCCGCCCCAAGGAGTTCGACCAAGGGGCTGAGATGTTGGAGCATACACCGCCTGTATACCTTTGTTGTAGAATTCGGCAGCAACCCCTTTAAATTGATTCCACATCATGGCTTTGTCCCATGAGTGCGCAAGTGCAGATGTCTGTGACCAACCTGTCACATAATCGTAACCCTGTGGACCTTGTGCACCATTGGCTTTCGTGAGAGCTGTCCAGTTGGCCGATGTGACATCGCTGCCAGTGATTAGGTTGAGCTTATCTTCATTCGAGAGTCCGGCAATGAAAGCTTGAGCTTGGGTATAAGCGGCGGACCAAGCCCCAAGATCGACTGATGAACAATTAGTATGAAGATGCTGCTTGAGATCACACAAACTTGCCATTGTTGGAACTTAGTAGACCTTCTACGGAAGAGTTTGTAGCGCCCACTGTCAAAGGCAAAAGAAAGGCACCAATGATATGGCAGATTTGAACCCTCATGACAGGCAAAGGAATGATAAAAAAGAGCGTAGAGTGTTAGGCAAGATTGACTGGAAGATGCAAGTAGAGACGAACGTGTGCAGAAACATTCAATTGGATTTCATTGCACAGTATATATACTTGATTGACTTTGCCTTTTCAACTTAGAAAGACTGCCAAAAGGGCTGGCCACTACTCGTAGCATACGCAATCCATTTCTGTTTCTTCGATTACCCCCGGGCGACGTGGAGACATAATGCTATGGGCAGCGATATTGGTGACATTCCTCAAGGACTGTAATATGATAATGTTTACTTCCACGCCAGCAACATCCATAAAACACAATATCTGGCCGCGTAACACATTCTTTTGGATTTCCTTGGCATATGAGTATATATGATGTGATGGATCATGGATCTATTGATAAGATATTTAGGTGGGATGAACCATCATGTACAAGTGGACGGGTGGTTATCCATCGGTGGACGGAAGGTCAATGTTTCAAGAAAAATTAAATGAGTGGATAGATCAGATAGAGGAGAAGGAGAAATGGAGTTTGATCGACGGGCGCTACCAGTGCTGCCTGTTGAAGTTCCGCTCCGCTTTACTCGAGTATTGTAGTTGAAACTTTGAAGTGAATCTTCAGCTTGATTCGTGAACGGCCAAAGGAAGCTCCATCCCATCAGCATCAATGCCAGCCTTACCAGGACCCAAGATACCACTTAGACTCATCGGATATTATTATTAGATGATGGTTCTCCTACATAAGATAGCGGATATAACGGAAGCCCAGCACTTCAGACAAGGGCAAACTCTGTTGATTGCATTGTGAACCGATACACTGCGCTGTAGAATCATATAAAGGTGAAGAGCCGTGGGGTAGGAATGTTGAAACTTTTGAAGTGGTAACTTATGAGTAATACTCCGTACACTACTGCCGGAACGCTGTTCAATAAGAAGATCTAGTAAAATAGGAAGGTAATTTGAGAATCTTAAAGAATTCTCCTGACTGAAATAGTGGATGTTATGGACGACAGCAATTGGACTGGATGGACCGACTCGTCGAGGGTGCTGAACTGAATTTGCTGACCGCAATATGAACCGAGATGTTGCGATACCCTGCTGCTGCTGCTGCTGCTGCTGCTGCTGTTCGATATTAAAAGTTCAGAAACAGGAAGGTGATGGTGATAACCTTAATTCCCCTTCCTAATTGAAATAGTGGACGTGGTGGACAATAATGACTAGATGAACCAAAGGGGCGAGATACGCCGATTGCACTGTAATCTGTTGAGATAGAAACGTGCAAAGCAGGGCGCGGAGGTGTTGACAGTGGTACGGCACTTTTAATATTGAAGTTGAGGTTGAGGGAGGTTGAAGGATGAAGGATGAATTTATTTTGAGTCACGTGATCCATGCGAAATACTCCTCGATTTGTGCATTCACTCTTGTCAGCAACAACACATCAATATCAAGTAATCCCAGGTTTCATATTTCAAACCTTTCCTTGGGTTTTTTGATGATATCCTTTGTGTAGCCAGTGACAACCTACTATTGTACTGGCAATCAAGAATCTGATGATTCATCTCAGTGAGCTTTAAGCACTGAATAGTTAACTTAAGGAAAACACCTATAGGGGGAACAACGCGAAAGAATCATTCTGAGCGTCAGACTAGGTTTCTTCAAAAATGCCCAACGGAAATCTTTGCTCGCAATGCGCGACATTAAACATAACACCATCCGCTTTCACATCAGATCCATATCAAGAGAATCGGGCTCACCAGTTAGGATCTTACAATGATCTTCTGGGTAGAAAGACATGTCCGCTATGCATGCTACTCGTTGAAGCTAGTGAAAACGGTCCGTACTCTATCATATCACCGGATCTTGGACCCTTACATTTCACGGCCTTTTGGAGGAATTCAGCAACACCGAACGAAGATGGAGGTAGAGATAGCAAATTCGCTGTCCTGTCAGTCAGTATCAATGAGAAAATGGAAGCGGGAGGTCTGCCGTTGACTTTGCGACCAATCAATTCTCTAGGGACAGAATCTCTTCATTGTGCAAAATATGTGAACAATCCTTTCATTGACTTTGATTTGGTAAGAGGCTGGATTAAAGGGTGCGAAGATAACCATAAGTGTGGAGAAGCTTTTGTCTCTCTGACCGGAGCCTATCGTATACCGGCCGAGTTCAACTGTATTGATGTGGTACAAATGTGTATTGTTCAACCACCAGAAAGGTGCCGATATCTAACATTAAGCTATGTTTGGGGAGCTGGCCAAAAGTTCTCTTTATTAGAAGATAATTATGAACGTCTATCAACTCTTGGGGGACTCACTGATTATCTCGGCCAACTCAGTCAAACAATACAAGATGCAATAGTATTCACAAAACGACTACAGGAACGATTTCTCTGGATTGATAGTTTGTGTATAATACAAGATGGACTTGAGAAAAAGCAAAGAGCATTGGAAGACATGGGCTTAGTCTATAGTCAAGCTCTGCTCATGATTTGTGCCGCCGATGATAGATGCCCTAAGGATGGCCTGCGTGGCGTTAATCTAGCACGAAACACCCCGCAATATACTCGAGAAATCATGCCAGGCCTCTCACTCGCTGCCCAATATGCATTCGAGCCATATCTCGATAGCTCGATTTACAATAGTCGAGGGTGGACGTGCGGTTTCTCCGCCGTGATATCAATACTTCATGGGCTAATAAGATGTCAGATATCAAGAAGAACAGTTCTCCTCGAGAATGCTCGTTTTTATCAATGATCAAATATACTTTCGCTGCACAAAAGTCGTGTGTTCTGAAGTCGTTGTCTCTGATACAAGCAAGAACCATGACCCAGAACTGAAATATCCAGACACGAAACGGAGATTGATCGGTCGAAAAGAAACCTCTCTCTCCATGCTTTACTTTCGTGCCGTCGAAACGTACACGACTCGAAACCTTACCTATCCTTCCGATACCATCAATGCACTTTCAGGTGTATTAAACACCCAAGGTAATGCCATGAATTGTGATATATTCCATGGTTTACCATCTGCAATATTTGACATGGCACTACTCTGGCAACCATGTGGAAAAATGATTAGACGGGAAGGATTTCCTTCTTGGTCGTGGGCTGGATGGCAAGGCCAGGTACGTTGGTATGGTGATACTATGGAACTGACTTCATACGGATTATATGAGTCCTCGGAAGATTTGGAACACAAGAAGATAACAACATGGTTGCGGAACCAAACCTGGATTGATTGGCATCGATGTATCGACGAGAAACTTGTTACAGTTTGGTCTCCAAAAAGCCGGGCTGCAGAAGTATTGCTAAACAAGAGCCAATCTGAGGTAGCAGCAAATGAAGTAGTCGGATACTCTGCCTCTGTTGCATCTCTGTCAAATCTATATGGCCGGGAAAACAACAGTAAAGCCTCACTTCCTCCAGGTCGTCCAATTATCTCACCTCGATCATCTCCTTCAATATCAAGTACTCAATACTTGTACTTCTCTACTATTTCCGTTCAATATCGCATCCGTCCCACAACAGAATATCTACGCTATGGCTCCATCGACCCCCCAGTAAGTGCTAATATTTCATTAAGATCATGTACCGGTATCTCATTCCCAATAATATCTTCCAAGCCCCCATCAGCCTAACAACCCTCTTTCTAACCCGATAGTGGAACTCCACCCACCGTACAATCTACCACCTCCTCAATAATTCTTATCAAGTCTGCGGATACATTCTTCTACCCTCCACATTTCAATCTCTTTACCCCAATCAATTCCATCCCCCACCAACTGTCTACGACGCAGAATGGTACAAAGGTGGTAACGGAACCGAGCCCATGTTCGAATTTTTATTGCTGAGTAAAGCAAATTACTATTGTGAATGGGGGAGACCGCATGAGGCGCATCCTTATCGGAAGAGTAAGTTTCGCGTTCTTATTTATTGTTTAAGCTTACTTCATTGCATGAATCTTGTGGATGTGTGACTAATATGTATCGGGGAGTCGCTAGGTTGGGAAATGGAAGATTATATAGAGGTGCATGTTATGATGGTCAAGACGAGAGACGATGGGGTGATGGAAAGGGTTGGTATTGGAAGGTTGCATGAGGATGCAATTAAGGATGCATGTGAGGGGGCGAAGTGGAAAGATGTTGTGTTGGGATGATTGGGTTGGGGTGTCATAGACACTGCCGCCAGGACTATATTAACCATGAACATCTCTTATGGCATTTTGTCATAGTGATGACCCTCGAGGTCTCACGGGGCCACACCATTCGCGATGATGCTCAGAAAAGAAGAATCAAAGTTCTTGAAAATATCATCCTGCTATGTCCGGAATCTGTATCATCTGCAGGCGCTCAATTCGTCCTGGAAAAGCAAATGAGTATCCGTAAAGTAGCGGTACTAGTCTACGTACTCGCACCACGCTTTCCTGAACAATGTTGCATGACAATCTTCAAAGCAGTCAAGTAAGATCACAAGCAGGGAGTCATTCAAAATTTATGACGTAACATTTAGTTAAAAGATATTCAATTTCAACATGGGGCATTCAGAAAATATTCGTCCCAAGTCTAGAAAATATCTCTCTTAACCTGCAAGTGGAACTCAGCCATTGAAGTGCGTAGCAAATCAGCTTAATGCGCTTCTGCCCCGCCAGAATTAGAAAGAAAAGCAAAAATCGCCGAATAATTCGCCTTTCTCTGACCAACCACCACTTCAATCTCCTTACACACCGCATCCACCACTTGTTGGGTATTTGCTTGCCCACCCAAATCCAACGTTTTCACACCACTCTCTAGCACATTTTCCACGCTCTCCATCAACAAATCCGCAGCGTATTTTTCCCCAAGCCATCTCAACATTTCCGCAGCACTCCAGAAGGTCCCGACGGGATTCGCGATCCCTTTGCCCATAAGATCAAATGCACTCCCGTGTATGGGTTCGAACATTGATGGGTTCTTTCGGGTAGGATCGAGGTTGGATGTGGGGGCTATGCCGATAGAGCCTGCGAGGGCGGCTGCAAGATCCGAGAGGATGTCGGCATGGAGATTTGTGGCGACGATTGTATCGATTGATTGAGGCTGGAGCACCATTCTCGTTGTCATGGCTAGGGTACAATTAGTATCAAGTATAGCATTGGGAACAAAAACGAAATACCCACCATCAACCAACATCTTCTCCACCTTAACATCCTCAAACTCCCTCCCCACCTCCGCAGCCACCTCATCCCAAAAAACCATACCATTTCTCTGCGCATTACTCTTTGTAACAATCGTCAAATGTTTTCTTTCCCTTCCCCTTGCCGTCTCAAAAGCAAACCTCATAATCCTCTCAACCCCCATTCTCGTAAAAATACTCGTCTCAGTAGCCACCGCCCACTTTTCCCCTTTATGCGAAATACCTCCATGCCCCGAGTATTCCCCTTCACTATTCTCTCTCACAATAACCCAATCCAAATCCCCCCTCTCACAATTCCTCAGCGGCGACGATATTCCCCTCAGAATCCTCGTAGGTCGTACATTAGCATATTGCTGCAACGGTTGACAGAGAGCTAAGCGAAGACCCCAGAGAGATATGTGGTCGGGTACATCTATAATCAAATTTCATGTCATTAGATCAAATCCGCTCCAAATACCCCCCAAGTATCAAAAACTACACACCAGGATCCCCCACACTCCCAAACAATACCGCATCAAAACCCCTCACCAGCTCCAACGCATTCCCCGGTAAATACTTCCCATGTTCCTTATAGTAAGTACTGCTCCAATCAAAATGTGTGAATTCCAGATCAAAAGTCTCGATTGCACTGGCTAGTTTTTCGAGGACTTGTATACCTGCGGATATTACCTCGGGGCCTATTCCATCGCCTGGGATTGAGGCGATTTTGTAGGACTTTTTGATGGCAGAGCTTGGTTGAGACATTGTTGAGTAGACGTGTAGTGAGAGAAGTGTGTTATGGCGTATTTAAAGTTGATGTGAACTAGCTATAGTGGGGTAGGGGCTCGGCAGTTCGGGAGGGGTTATGCGATTATGCCGAGGAACTACCGCCATGGTGCATCTATTGTCATCACCCAATGATAAACATTAAATCTAGGTTGTTGATTCGTTTTTGAAAAGATATGTGACACTTCCAAAATCATCTGAATCTCGGGTACTGAAGAATTAGATTAAAATTCTTTGAGTGAGACCAAGACAAAGTCTAGGAATCGAATACGATTACCGAGAAAGGAGAGAATGCACAAGTACCTATACCGGTAGTCACTAGACTCGAGACAAAATATTGAAATATTATGAAGAAACAATAACCAATGATTTTTCAAACATACATCAGAAAAAAGTATATTCATACAAGCCGAAGACTCTAAAGTAAAATCCATTTAACCCGCATTCAAGTGACAGATCAAGAACACCTCAATCCCTTTGAACTCCCTCCCACTACCCTATATGACACCCGAAATGGCTCCCAGAAAAGACAAGGATAATGAAATCCCCCAAAGCCTGTAAATCTATTATTTTCAATCCCTACGGCTCATCCGCCTTCCGCCCCCAAATTGAAATGAAGTAGGACTTGTTGGCGTAGATGGTCTCGCCGAAGGTGGGAGACCCAATTTGACCTCCCCAACCCGTCGTAAAAGTCCTTGTAACGCCAATCTGATTTCCACTCCCATATCCCTAGAAAGCAAGTCCACTGCGAGTGGATAGAATACCTCGACGTACTTCTCGAACCCTTCTCGTGGGAAGTTCATGTACCCTTCCAAAACATCAACGACCACCGGTCGCCATGCAATAATGTTCCTCTGTTGACTCTCTTCTTCAAGCAGTGTGAAACCACGGATAATATCGGCGCACAATGGTACCAATGCTTGTTCTGTATCTGCTCTGTTTTGTTTTCGCTCTTCACCTTCATCATGGTACATTCTAAGCAAAATGGAAACATATGTCGCTGCACTCCCAGATTCTTGCTTTAATAAATTGGGTGGCTGTTTCATAAAGCCTTCACGCCATAAGCGCATGCGAAGTTCCTTGTTTTCGTTGAATCTCTTGGCGAATAAGAAAGACTTTTTGAGTAAAGCCATGAGTCTGAGAAGTTCTGGGCTAGGAATCTGCGCATAGACTGTGTCGTTGGAGAAAAGCTCATTGACAGTCTCGATCATCAAAAGTTGCAAAACACATCTAGTAATGATTTTGTTGAAGAAGCGGCGGCGAGCTGCCGTGACGACCACTGGCTGTTGTTGGAGACCTGATTGTGGCTTGTAGTCTTCTAATTCTGGAGTCTGAGCTACCGTTGTCTGACCTTCTTGCTCGGCAATACTTTCTGCATCCGAGGTCGCAGCACCAGTTGTACCATTGATCTTTAGAGTTTGATCATCTTCAAGATCTTCCATTGGTGACACAGTACTCTCCATAGTCCCCCCTGCTGCAGATGATGTTGCAGCGGAGAATAATTGATATGCAGTGGTTCTTTCAAACAACTCGACAAATGCTCCGACTATCTTCGACCAATGTTGGGGTTTGAATTTTGTCACGTTTTGCAAAATCAATTGCTGTAAACAATTGCTGCCGATTCGAGCGATTGTATCATTTTCTTGACATATACATAAAGCAAGTAGATCAAGAAATCTATCCAGCATGTACTCCAGCGACTCAAAGTAATGAGTAAATAAGGTGATCATGTTTCGGAGAGCTTGAATCATCGTAGTCGATAGCCATACAGACAATTCCTCATGATTGACAACATTAGACATCTCAGACTTCGATTTGAGAACCATAAAGATAGGATAAAGGAGTTGTCGCCACAGAATATCCCAAAAATCAGAGGGAAAGTCGCCTCCATATCTGATTAACGATTCAAAAAGATAGTTTAGAGCATTAGAGCGGACTTCCAGATCTTCTCCAGTCATAAGAACATCATGAAACGCAAACAAAACAGGAAACCAAAAGGCTTCCTCCTGAGTCGTACGACTGATAGGGTTCGTAGCGGTCTCTGTGGTCTTCACTGAACCATCCGAATTTGCATTGGATTTATGAGATAATGGGCACTCCGGTGTCTTCAACATCTTGGGAATAATGGATTTGAGTACTTCCATGGCTTGTAAACCCTTCTTCTGAAACTTCATATTTTTCGAAAACTCAGTCAAACAGACAATCAAGTCTGCAAATGCCCCCTGGGAGATGACGACACCGAACCGAGTTTTGTACACCTGATTGACGTTTTCGAAGGCAAGGTTGACAATGCTCTCATAGGGCTCCCGAGCTGCGACCGTGAACACGCCGAACATTGTTCTCCATCCTGAGCGAATGTTCTCTCCACGAGCTTGGATCATCTGTATGAGACAGCGCAAAGCCATATCCTTCACAGCAACAACATTTGAATTCGACATCACATGCTCGAAGGGTTTTAAGAAGTCTTTCTGGAATTTGAATCCAGGAAGTTCTTCAATTTCCATAAAGCGCATGGATAATTGACGCAGAGAATCCAAAGCAAAGAATACCACAGCAGTATTGTTATGACACCCAACTCGGTTGAAGTGCTCACCTAAAACAGCCCAAATGTTGGCCCATTCGAACCTGACACGAGTCATATTGTAGTAACTAATTTCTACAAGCTTTTGAAGACTATATGTCCGTGGGGACTCGTTAGAGCCTGATATCTTAATCTCATCCCAACTGACCTCTGTCAGAGCTCTGACAAAATGTACAATGGCTTCACCGGAAAGATTGGCCGTGCTTGTGAATATCCTATCCACTCCCTTGATAACTTCGTCGGACCTACTTTCCATTGCAATCTCCGTTGAATAGATGGTGCTTTGCGTGTTTGTCCGAGGACGAGCTTTAGGTCGCTGTGAAGCGGTAGACTTTCTTGATGCATTGGTATCTGATCGTGATGGAGGGACAATTCGGGCTTTCGAAACGTCTGGAATAGCTCCTTCATCGACTCCGTCGGATATCAGCTGTAAGCGATCCAATTGACTGATGCACATAAGGATATCTCGCCATGACCCTTTCAAGAGGTTTCCTTCAGTTTGTGCTATTTCAAGGAGAACTTTCAATGCCTCCACATTCTTGGCCATCATATCCTTCGGATTATTGAGATTAGTCGAGTTCTTAAGAGCGGAAACAAAAGCTTCACGCGGGGTCTCTAGGTCGAAGAGACACGCTATACGGATTGCTAATTTCATGCCTTCAATGCACAATTTAATTATCTCAACATTGTGCGAGTTTTGCATCTGACCAGAGAGCCCGGAAAAGAACGACATCCAAGTTACCTCAAACATAGGGCCGACATGCTTGAACGAAGTGGCGGGGATGTATTTGTCTCCAGATTTGGATGCATTCTTTCGTTGGTTTCGGAAAAGGTTCTTGAATAATTGTTCGGATCTATGTGAGATCTCCTCAGATTGTTGCAAATAGGCTTCACGCTGCAAGTCACGTCCAACTGTAGCCAAAGCTTGCCCAAGACCTGCCGCAATACCACCGCCAGACTGTGGAGGAACGTTACCCGTGGCTGCGGCAGCTTCGCGCTCACTAGTAAGTACGATCTCTTCCGTCTGTATTTCTTCGTAGATGCCGATAAGATACTCATCAGGTAAGTTTGCATTATCGTTAATGCCACGATTGTTCTTGATGAAATCTTCCTTGGTCATTCTCTTGGCAACCTTACTGCTGTGTTGATCCGTGTTCAACATGATGACAGAGTAAGCCAAAACATAAGCGGTATCTGCATTGGCAAATGCGTTTGGATTGCCAACAACATAGCGATTTGCAAATTTTAACATAAAACGATCAATCTTCTGGGCCTCACCAGGGAGTCGAAAGGATTGCAAAAATTGTCGTAGAGCATCCACGAACCGACGTTTAGTGAAGTCCATGGCGTCCACAAATGCGTGCATAGTCGCAATATTTCGTTCATCCCCCTCACCTAAAAACTCTCCGATCTGCGATTTGTCCAACCTATCCTCTCGTAGTAAGAACTGCGCAATACATTCTGGCGTATCTTCCGCTATGAATTTATCGGCGAGTAAAAGTTTGATACCTTTCTTTGGTTTGAAGTTAAATTGCTTGATGGCATTTGTCATTGCAGTCTTTCTCTGCTTCTCTTTTTCCAGATGTTCAGGGTCATCATCCATGACAGGTGTTGAAGGCATTGGTGTATTTTCACCAGTAATCCTCGACGAACTGTCGTTCCCAGGTTCCAGGGACTCTCGAATATCGGCAGAACCTCTGATATCGCATTCTGGACCATTAGTCACATCAGCGATTCCTTGCTGTGACCAGTTTACCAGTGATCTGAGCGTCTCGACAAGACAATCCATCGCTTGTCGTTTCACGATATACTCTTTGGGAATTTCAGACTCCCCGCTTTCGGAATGGCTACTCAGATGTGCCGTGGATAGAGGCGGGGGAAGTGTGTTTCGAGCTTGCCAATCGCCACCCGAGCTTTTACTATTCTTCTCTTCGTATTGCTGTTGGGCAAGAGGGGTAACCATAACAGCAGCGCTCGCCGCTTTGGACAGGTCTTCAATTAAGGTCTGGAACATGTTATCAACATTCCTATCGCAATCGTAATTCAGATATGTCTCAACAAGCGCACGAGGATCGGCGCAGAAACGATGAAGGATGCCCATGAAATGGAGTTTTTGAACAACAGGCGCTTGTCGTCTTTCTAGGAGTGCCAAATATATCTCATTCAAGAAGACTTCGATTTCTTTCTGTAAAATAGTCAGTCAATATGTTATAATGATGCATAAATCTGTACAAACCTTAAACGGGGCTCTCATGAATTTTAGCATTAGCCAGAAAATTTCACAACAAATTTCGAAGACCTTTTCCTCAGAGCTGGCACCATTTCGAGTTATGCTAAGACATAAGTAGAATTTGATGGCTTGTAAGAAGCCAGTAGGCTCGTTGCTTTTGCTGTTGGTAATCGTACACAATGGAGAAGTGAAGACGAGCATATTATTATTGAGTAACATGTGAATGAGGTGAAGAGAAATTAACTTTGAGCGCATGGCTTGTCCCTTTACATCGTACAATTGATCCGGTGGAAGAACTTTGGTGCTGAGATTGCAAAACGACCTAAAGACCAAATAGGCATCCCTGATATAGACCTCATCTTCCATATCCTCGGATTCCAGACTATCATCAGTTCCACTGTCCGGAGCTGTTTGCTCTGATACTGATCGAGGCGACGCTTTCGAAGGCTTGACTTGGGTCACCATAGTTGGCCCTTCCCCCATCTGCGAGTCATCGAAACTCTTTCGGTGCTCGAGATCTTTGAGTGTGAGTTTTGGCGCATCTCCATTAGAGGTTTCTTCTGCCGTTGCCGATCCATCCGCTGCCTCTTCTCCCACGCTGCTCCTAGGCACGTCATTTATTGACTCCGGGACATCAACCGTGAAGCCGCTTGTGTTTTCGGCGTCTTTACTCAATTTCGATAGGTCTAATCTGGCTTCCTTCATATGTATCCTTGTCTTCACTCTCTCGAACACTGTTCCAACCATCTGCGTCAATGTCCCCTGCGCAACCTGCTGATTCGGACTACTCTTTGAAAGTAGGAAAACATTGTAGACCTGTCGCACTGCCTTCAATAATCCTGCACCATGAACCACAATTTTATCATTCAGAACCGCTGCCAATAATGATTTCACAATCTGCAGTTGAATTTCGACCGGTGTATTTTCTCCCTGAAAGCAATCGCATATTGTATCTATCGCTCGTTCGATCAATGGCGCACGGTCGGCCTCTCTATCTGCGTTTGGCGATGAAGGGACTGAAAAGTAAGAATAGCTAATAAGCTTCCCGATACAATCCAACGCAGTCGTGGTTAATGGGATACTTCCGGATCGTGTAGCTTGTTGTAATGGATTGAAGATGATTTCGGGATCAGGTAATTGAGGTGCATGTTCTTTAATATCCTTCAAAGCCTTCTCAACCGATTCCCCTAATCCCTTTCTTTTCTGAGCCTCTTTTGAATTATGTATAGCTTCCAGAGCTGAAACCACAAAAACGATGGAGCTCATGGTGGTCGATCGAATGCGCTAACTTCCATCCGTGGGATCCTATCCTTCAAAGAGAGAAAGAATAAAAGATTCCGTTAAGATTGATTGTATTGTCGTCGTGGTGTTATGTTTATGTTATAGTAAAATTAAATGAAATTAATAATTCCAATTTCTTTCCCAATGTATTCAGATGATCCCTTAGCTGCCACATATCTGGTCCGGCCATCCATTCATTCAATCCATGGATAATTCCTAACTTTAAATTTATTGAACGCTTATTAACCAATAGGAAATCCGATTTAATACTCAGCGTCTAATAACCAATGGGACTCATAACGGTGAAATTATAAACGCTTAATCTTATACTATTCTACTTTTGTACTAATCTCATTGAGCTCCGGCCTGTCAACGGGTTCAACCTGCGAGGTTTTCCGATATTCCGATATTCAACAGAACAATTTAAATCTTTGTTTTTGTCGCGAATAACTTCCTCCCACTCCTACTCCACCCAGAATTACCTCCGATCTCCCGCCCTATCCTACAACTTCGGGTTCTTATATTCAAGACTTCTATTCTCTGGATACGGGTTTAGATTCTTTCACTCTTTTTATAGTGCTTTCGTTGTTGTATTTTCCCTCTAGATACCCTCGTCAAGATGTTTTCCGCAGTGTTGAGAAAGCGTGCCCTTCAATCGCCATCTCTGCCATATCAATTAGCAAGATGCTATGCCTCGAAATCTTTCCCTCCTCATACCGTGGTCACTATGCCAGCTTTATCGCCAACAATGACTGCAGGTAACATTGGGACGTGGCAAAAGAAGCCTGGAGATGCAATTGTCCCGGGTGATGTCTTGGTAGAGATTGAGACTGATAAGGCGCAAATGGACTTCGAGTTCCAAGAGGAGGGTGTTTTGGCTGCTATCCTAAAGCAATCTGGGGAGAAAGACATTGCTGTTGGAAATGTTTGTACTACTTCGAGCTGAGGAAGAAATAGAGAGCTGACGGGAACATAGCCAATCGCTGTTATGGTTGGAGAAGGAGAGGACGCATCGGCTTTCGCGGATTTCACACTCGCAGATGCTGGAGGAGAGAAATCTGCACCAGCGCCACCAAAGGAGGAAGCCAGCATGTCTTCCGAGAAATCTGACACACAATCCGGAACTGCTCCCCCGCCCCCAACCGAATCGACACCAGTTCAGGAGGAATCCGTATCTAGTGGTGGAAGATTACAATCTGCTATGGACAGAGCAATCAATGCTAGCTCTGCAGCTGTCAGATTGGCGATTGAGACCGGTGTTAAGATCACTGGTGTCAAGGGTACTGGACTCGGTGGACAAGTCACTGAGGCCGATGTTAAGAAAGCTTCCTCCGGAGCTTCAAGCAGCAGCTCGTCGGCAACAACCGCTACATCCAACTACGTCGATACCCCTATCACCGCCATGCGTAAAACCATTGCCAACCGTCTTACCGAGTCCGTAAACCAGAACCCCCACTACTTTGTCGCCTCTACCGTTTCCGTCACCAAGCTCATCAAGCTCCGACAAGCTCTTAACGCCTCCGGAGATGGCAAATACAAGCTCTCGATTAACGATTTCCTGATCAAAGCCTCTGCTATTGCATGCAAGAAGGTTCCAGCTGTCAACTCCAGCTGGAGAGATGGTTTCATCCGTCAATTCAACAATGTTGATGTCAGCGTAAGTTTTCTTCTGTCAGCCACTACAGTATACTAAACGTTTATTTAGGTCGCTGTTGCAACCCCAGTCGGTCTCATGACTCCAATCGTCAAGAACGTCGAAGGACTCGGTCTCGAGTCCATCTCAGCACAAGTTAAGGATCTTGGCAAGCGTGCCCGTGATGGCAAACTCAAGCCAGATGAATACCAAGGTGGAACTTTCACCATCAGTAACATGGGAATGAACAACGCCATCGACCGATTCACCGCCGTCATCAACCCTCCACAAGCAGCCATTCTCGCTGTAGGAACTACCCAAAAGGCAGCCATTCAAGGCGCAGACGGAGGAATCGAGTGGGACGACCAAATCACCTTTACAGGAAGCTTCGACCACAAGGTCGTAGACGGTGCCGTTGGTGGTGAATGGATGAGAGAGTTCAAGAAGGTGGTAGAGAATCCTTTGGAGTTATTGCTATAAGAAGTGATGTGACGTGATATGAATTCAGGGGTTCAGGTTAGGCTAGGCTAGGAATGTCAGGGAGGGGGTGGTTAGTTGATGTGTAGGCTGATGATACCGATAAACGAAAGAAGAAAAGAGACTCCCTATCTAACTCCTTGTACAATCAATTCAATGATTCTTTGCAGCTTGCATTTTTCTCTCTTTGCAGTCATAACATATTAGATTGATCTGTGATATGAAACCGAAAGCTAATAATCCCCGGTGAACCCCTTCATCACATGTATCGTAGCTAGGCTCCTGGTGAGCTCCCGATGAATACTCTCCCAATTTACTACTCTGTATAAATGACTCTCCCTCCACCCAAGCATCCATCCCTATATCCATCCATCTTTCAAACCTCACTCATTCACCGTTTATATAGTTTCATCTTATACTTATACTCATATACATCTCACGCTTCTCAAAACACTCCGATCCCTTCATCAATCCATTATTACTCGTATACTGATAAAAATATGCATAATACTCGATTTCGATTTTGGTTTCGATTTCTACTTCGAACTACATATACATATACTTATACTTATAACAATATATCATATATCATACCCCTGCCCCCCTCCTTCAAAATCTCCCCAGCCAAAGAATTAATATCTGAATAAGTACATAGCATAAAAGAAAACGCTCCGCCAAACACCACCCAATGAATGACTTGATCGCTAGCTTGCTTGATTGCTTCCTTTTCCTTCCTCAAAGTATAAAGAAGACAGACAGACAAACACCAACCCATAATCCTATCCTACCCAAGCCTGTTGGCCCCGTGTGCCTAACGCCTAGCAATGCATATAGTAGGTATGTGAGTATGTAAATAAGTAAGTGCGTCAGGGCTCGCCTCCCACACTAAGTAAAGTAATCAATTGCGAATATCCAGTCAATCGCTTCCCTTTTCCTTCTCCTTCTCTCGTCTTCTTTTCCTTCCCAATTACCTCCCTAATCCTAAAACCTCACCGCCACCCCCGTCCATCTCCTTCCTATAAACGCCCTCAAAATCCAACTGCTCAATCATGCCATTGACCCTATCAATCTCCCTCTGCATATCTCCCAAATTGGCCCTTAGTGCCTCCACCTCATCAAACTTCCTTCTTTTCCCCGCATCCTGTACCATTTCCTGAACGAAGAACTTTTGTTCTTCTAATACTATTAATTTTTCCTTTAGTTCCTGTTCTTCCTGTTCCATTTGTGATATTTGGCTTATATCCGAGATCTGTGACGATGTTTCTGTAGTCGTGTCGTATTTGATATTTGAGAGGGCGGATCGTCCGTTTTGAGGGAGCAGGGATGAGTGACTAGAGGGTGTGGCGTGCTTGAGGACTTTGGGGAGAGATTTAAGGGGTAGCATGTGAAGGTGGAGAAAGCCAGAAGATTGTTGGTAAATTGCTTTTTGGATTTTTTGTTGTGTGGGTGAGGGGGTTAGTAAGTCACGTATGCGTCTTCCAGCTTGATCATATTTTCCAAAACTATCCATCAATCTCTTTCGAACTTTGGCAGCTTCAACAAGTTGGACATGCGATGGTGGTTTTTCCGGATCTTGGAGTGCAATCAAGAGGCGTTGAAAATTGGGTAGCAGTAGACGAATACCCTTCTCGAATTGTAGGAGATTTTCATAAGCTCGTTGAGAAGGCGTCTTTACCATGAGTTCAGCAGCAAAGTCTTTCTTGGAGAAGACCGTTGTTTTGCAGTCGCGACACATCCGAATATCGAAACTGATGTTCTCTGTATGTTTTTCTGACTGGACGTCAGTTACTGGAATATGTCAATGAATGACACTTGCTATGTTCGGAAACATTCAAAACTTACTTGCCGTGACGTTCAATCCAATCTCAGAAGAACACCCAGTTCTGGGATCTGAACAGACAACTCGTCCACACAGTCGACAGTGATGCCGCCGAAATGACCAAGAACCAAAATCTTGTTGACAAAAAGGACATTTTGGAACTTTCGCATCCTCTTCCCAGGTTACCACTGATTGCTCTAGTATTTTGCGTGAATTCTTCTGTCCTGCCAGAGATAATAATGTCCCATTGCTAGTCATATCCTCTGGGGGATTCGCAAGTAGTTGGGTCAGTTTAGTGAGCCGCTTTTCCAATCTCGAGATTTCCAGATATGCCTTGTCCACATGTTTCCTTCGCATGGCCATAAAATCGTTTGTATGATCTCGTAAATAACCATTGTGATCATTGTATCCTTCTCTTGACTTGAAACAAGTCTCGCAAACCCTACACCATAATCCTCGTACAGGTTCGTGTTGTGCCGACCTCGAGAGTTTAATTTGGTACATCGTATGGTCCTCGCAGAATAGACGCCCGCATTTCCTACAATTAACACTTCCGTTGACCGCACCAAGTTTCTTCCCGCATATTGGTTCCGTGCATGTATCATTGAATCCAGATTTCTGCCAATGTTTCCTTGTAATTACTTCATCGGGATCTGGTCCGACATGTTCGGGAATTGATATGCGATTTCCAGAAATAGCGTTCGGTATAGGACTCGAGGATGTTGGCACGTCGTTTGATTCGAAGACATCTAATCCCTTGAGCTTCTGATTTATTACCGCTAGCGGTTGGAACTTCTTCGCCTTTATAACCTGCTTGTCGAACCAATTCTTTACTTCGTCCTGTTCTACTTCTGGAAGTTCTTGGTGGTTGTCATCGAGATGTCTGTTAAGAGTGAGTTTCCTTATCCAACTTTCGAACCATAAGAAGCATACCGATTCAGTTGCAACAAAGTCATCTGCCAGCTATTAGTAGAATTCTGGCATTCTAACATATCGAGGGATTACACTACCATTTCTTCGGTGCATATTGGACATTGGAGCTTCGAGGTCGCAGCGTTGACACTTGACGAACGTCCATTTTCCATCGAAACCCTCGAACTCAGATCCTGACTATCATTTGGTAAAGATGAAGTAGCTAAAGGAGACGATGAATGACTTGAACTCAATGAAAGAGTACTTTCTGAAGGAGTGATAAAACCAGAACTTCGTTGTTGCGCCAGAGGGGCAGGAGGTGCCAATGACTTCCCATTACCCAAAATTCTCCCACCTCCTAGCTTTCTACTGGACATGACTGGAATTTGTCAGAATTATGAGGAACGTTACCTCAGAACCTCGCCAGCTCGAGGCATTGATTATTGAAGGTTCTCTCTCTCTCTCTCCTTAAGACTTTCCCTCGGCCTTGTTCATTCTGTGCAGGTGGTTTCGAATTGTCCTGAGTAAGCGAAGCTGTGCCTTATCGGTATTGACATGCTTATCGCAAATGTCATCAAGGATTCACGATAAAGCATCCAACTCTCTCCAAATAAAGAATTGGTAATTATGCCAAACATCAAATATTTCAATATCAATACAGATGGGTGAAGAAAAATATCCCGAAGTCGAGGGCGGTGGTTCATTGATACTGGCTTGGCAAATCAAGAATAAAAGAGTATTAGTAGTTGGAGGTGGAGAGGTAAAAAGAGTCTTCCTAATATTGTTCACTGCTAATTGTTTGAAAGGTCGCAGCAGGTCGAATCTTGAATGTTTTAAATGCAGATGCAAAGGTAACTCTCGTATCACCCCGAGAGGGTCTTAACCCAGAAGTTGCATATCGAGTACAAAAGGGACAAATAGACTATGTGGATAGAAAGTTCGAGCCTTCAGACCTTGACAATGTCGACATGGTTTTGACTGCGGTCGATGATCCGGAAGCATCCTCACAGATATGGAAGTTATGCAAAGAAAGGAAAATAGCAGCAAACATTGCAGATGTGCCACCCGAGTGTGACTTCTATTTTGGAAGTGTTCATCGAGACGGTCCTTTACAGATCATGGTTAGCACGAATGGAAAAGGTCCACGGTTCGCCAATATTGTAAGGAGGCAAATAGCTTCAAATTTGCCAAACAATATTGGGGATGGGATAGAGAAGATTGGAAAATTAAGGCAAATGCTCAGAAAAGTTGCACCAGGACCAGAAGAGGGACCAAAGAGGATGTCATGGTAAGCATTTTTGACTATTGGTATTGCCGTTATACTTATATCAAGTAGGATGATCAAAGTCAGCGACGCTTACAGTCTAGAAGACCTGTTTGAGATGAACGAAGAAGACATGGAAACGCTACTAAGATTCTACGCCCCCAATAAGGTCCCACGATTCAAATGTTTAAAGTCAATGAAGGATGAGTCGTGGGACTTGGGATGTTTACGCCCATTGAAAGACGAGTATGAAGCTTTCGACGGCTCCTGGGGATTTTCTGTAGGATGGGGTTGATAAACTGGCCGACTGTATACACAACATATAAATATCGGCGTTCTTGGTTTTATCAGAAACAAACGAAGGCAAAGAGCTTCTTGTCGGGCACTTCCATAAGAATTTGGAAATAGTATATGCTTACGATGAACAATTTCAATGGAAATCAATGGAAATGAGACCAAAAGTATTGATTTTAGGGTCCTGGGCAAGAATTCTGGGGTTCCACCCCATTAACACTTTTCCACTTTCATATCATTTCTGCCTTTCCATCGGTTTGCAATACTCCGTTGGAATCCGCCCACCACTCTCAATGTGTGCCCTGATGTTCGGCCCAGCTCTGATGTTGTGCTCGAGTATATCTGTCACCTCCCAAGTTGTGAAGCCAGGTCTGATGAGTCTACAACTGCCATCCGATTACTGAATACAACATTACTCCGGTACCGTCTAAACTCACTAACTTTGGATTTGCTTAGTCCTATTATGGAATAAGGTTTCAATTAGTAGATCTTAATCGTGCATTAGTATAGGATTTCATTGGCTGATACAGAAATGGATCATACATCAGTATAAGCATTTATTGGCTCATTTGGAAGTGGAGTCGGATATTATAGATTACGGACCCAGTATTAGCCTTGATCAGAGTTTATTAGCTATAAACCTTATTCTATAATAGGACTAAGCAAATCCAAAGTTAGTGAGTTTAGACGGTATGCATATCGTTTGTCTATGTTAAACGATCACCAGCTCTAGCAAATTAGGTTAGGTCAGATCTGTTCCATAATTCATCGTTTCTACCTCGGTTTGTGTTGCTTTTCCGCCCCATTTTATCCTTTCAATTTATCTTCAGAATAGGAGTCCAAGCAAGCTGCATTGGGAATTTGGAATACGTATCGATCGCATTTGATGGTTCAATCTTTTCGGCTAGTACGTCCTTAATCAAGACATCCCTCCGTGTTTCACCGGGTTGTTACGCCCAGGTTCCCCGCAACACCGCGTAACGCTGGAGAATCCCGATCAAATCATATCTGACTAGATCTTATCTTTCAATTGAACTGCATGTACTAGGTAATATTGAACAGAACACAGAACAGGAGGTATAACATACTTATGGTCTTTTCGGCATAACCCCCTGACCCGACGGAAAAACTTTGGAAAACAATGCGACTCGATATGGAAAATGGGAGGGGCCAAATCTGATTATATGTGAGTAAGGATGATTTCAATCTTGGCGCAATAATCACTTTAACGATGATCAATAGATATATATATATATATACATACGTTCCTGTTGTGTTTCTATTCTGTATCACGTTTCACAAATTATACCAAGATGCTGTTCGCTTTTCTTCTCATGTGTGCATCTGCATCTGCAGTAAACGTGATTAGATCAAGGGCCGACGATGCTGCTATCAAGTATTCAACCCTAGTATCCGACTCATTCATTCAAAGGGGGGTAGCCAAGACGGCGCAATACCCTCAGGCGGTGTTCTATCGTGGCGTCGAAATGGCATATAATGCTACTGGAAACGCAACATATATCAACTGGGTGAAATCCCAAATGGATGCTGCCGTATCCGCAAATGGATCAATCCTTAGCTACCCAACATATCCCGCCTCCCTTGACGATATTCGAATCGGGACCATCATACTTGACACCTGGGCTCGAACCCACGAAACTAGATATAAAGTTGCCGCCGATAGACTGCGCCAACAATTCAATTACGGCCCACGAACAGCATCGGGAGGTTTCTGGCATCGTGCACCTACGTACCCGAATCAGATGTGGTTGGATGGCATTTTCATGGCTGATGTCTTTTATGCTCAATGGACTTCATACTTTGATGCTGCCAATATCACGGCGTGGGATGATATCCTATTGCAATATTTACTTATTGAACAACATTGCCGCAACCATACGACCAACCTCATCGTCCACGGTTACGATGAAAGTAAAACACAAGTATGGGCTGATCCCGTGACGGGTGCATCGCCTAATGTATGGAATCGAGCATTAGGATGGTATCTGATGGCACTTGTCGATGTTCTTGACTTCTTCCCAAAATCACATCCTGGGTATGCACAACTTCTGAATTGGTTTGTCACAGCATCAGCAGGTGTAGCAGCCGCCCAAGATACCACGGGTGGCTGGTGGTTAGTGATGAACGAACCATATCCAGGCAAGCCGAGAAATTATATCGAGTCTAGCGCTTCATCAATGTTCGTCTATGCGATACTGAAGGGTGTTAGAAAGGGGTATTTGGGACGCCAATATATAGCACCCATGAAGAAGGGATATGAGTATATTGCCGAGAATTTCGTTGCGTTTAATGGAACGAATGGAACGGTGAACTGGGAGGGTACGGTTTTGGTGGGTAGTTTGGGATCGAATGCTTCATTTGAGGTTAGTACTGTGTGACAATGTATGAATTTGGATGAGGCAATGTGACTGACTGTTCTCTAGTATTATACCTCGATAGCGGTTGATGAGAATGATATGAAGGGAGCGGGGCCGTTTGTTTATGCTAGTGTGGAGTATGAGCAGTTGGCAGCATACTGATGAACAATCTTATGAGAGGAACCTGAAAAGGGGTATCATCACATGTACCTATAACCAATTATTATCTAGTGTACTGATCAGCTAGTCATCAATATCCGTCTCAAGTATTTGCTTTGGACCAGCTAAACCTCAACCCGGAAGATATTTTAAGACATCTCCGTGCTTTTGAATCGTATTTCGCCCTTTAATCATGTATTTGAACGTAAACTATTGTTTCTTTTGTCTGTTTGCAAGATCGGTCTCTTGGATTGTATATATAAGCGGATCTAATCTAAACTATTTCACACCAAAATGAGAGGAGAGATATCCAAAGCGTGATCTACATGTGACCTAGATTAAACCAGGAAAAACAAGTTTCTTCCTTCCCTCCTAGCAACCAACCCTCATCTACAAATGCGCCTGTAGATGTTCCTTCTGAGGAAAAGTAGTCAAATCATACCCATTCCCCTTTTCAATACACCTCTTCCACGCAGGTCTCTCATAGCACTTTTCCAACCAAGCATTCAGCGCCGGAAACTCCTTTTCCAAATCCACCCAGTTCCTCTGCTTCACCATCGCCATTGGAAACTCCAACATAATATCCGCTCTACCCAGATTCTTCCCCATGAAAAACCCTCCCTCGGGCCCCTCCTTCAATTCCCTCTCCAAATCCCCCAATACATTCCTCAACGCCGGTCCATCAAACCTCTTCCCCATCAGTCCCACTCCATTGGCTACCGCGTTGAAATCAAGCATGAGCATCATACCCGTCGCCCGTCCAAGATCGGTCAGGATAATACTGAGGAGTACTTCATCGCGTACCCAATCGCCATTTCGGAGACCGAATTTATCGTCGGTATCAAAGGTGCGGATCAAATAGGTGGCGATGGCGAGGGATTCCGGGATATAGCGGGAGTGGTCTTGGGGACCGGTGATGAGGAGTGGGGCTTTGCCGTAGGGACCGGTGGATTGGAGAGAGGGGGGCGCGAGGAAGGCCGCTTTGGGGTCGGTGGAGGGGTTGCGGGTGTGTAGTTGGAGGGTGTAGGGGGTGTTTAGTTCTTCGAGGAGCCAGAAGATTCGTTGGGATTGAGAGTTCTTGAGTTGGTGATTAGGCTTGGGGAGAAGGTATAGAAAGGGGAAAATTGGGAGTTTGATAGCTTACGTTGAGGTGGTGGAATGTGGGAGTATTTTCGGTCATTTTTGGATGGTCTGATTGATGATGTAATGGTTTAGAATAGAACTGGAGATATTGTATGGAAGATGATGTATGAGTAGTTTTGACACAGGAGATACAAGATCTAGATAGATATGCGTATTGAGATTCGATATTGGAAAAAGAGATGAGGAAACTTTGTTCTTTGGAAAGTTCAATGTGATATATAAGAGGCAATACGAAAGTTAATATTAATAATACCTTCTAGTAAGCAGTAGAAGCCATCCATTACAGTAGCTCGGTTGAGAAAAGAGGGGGCTCGGGATTCTCGGCCGACTGGTAGATGCCGGCAGGCGAAGAAGTATAGTACCACCGGTACCTGGTATAGATCCAGGATATACAGTACTCGAGTGTATGTATATATATATATATGATGGCACATGGCACAATCGGAGGAGAATCATTTATAACATCAATGTGTTAGACATTAGTTCTATAACGTCAATTTCATGCGGAGATGGCGGGTCATAAGATGGTAGGGGTATGTGGTTTATATATATTGGAGTTTTATATTTCACTTATTATCACTTGAAGACTGGCTAATTCAGGTTGGAAACAAAAAAGGGGAAATGGAGAATAACCTTTAATACTTACTTATGGTTTTATAATGAAAAAACTTTTTTTTTCTTTTATGATTTAGCAAAGAAATGAAATGATGTTTTTTATCCTTTTGTGATTTTATAATGAAATGACATTTTTTTTTCTTTTGTGGTTTAGTAAAGAAATGACATATTTTTTTTTTTGTTGTCTAGTACTAATGAAATGAAATGATGTTTTTTATCCTTTCGTTAAGTATGAAAACAATTGAAGAGCCCCAAAGAGAGATATGAAGAGGCAATAGAGGAAATGCATGCTTACTAGGACTTGTCACCAGCGACGCTTACCACTACTCGATTCTTACTCGACTTCTTAATCTTCCTCGGTTATCCTTTGTTGGCTCATCTCCTCCCTATCCTTGAGCATTTGGGCAGCCAAGTCGGAGGGGCCGTACTCTTGACAGTTGACACACAAGCTCGAACTATTTTTGCCTGGATGAATCACGATCTCTGGGATTGTGAAATCGGGGATTACGAGATAGAGGACTTCGATAGCGCGTTGAAGGCGATGTGCCTGCTCCTTCTCAAAAATGAAGGTCAGGACATCCTTCCACGCATCTCTGATCTTCGGAAAGTCTAGTAGGTGTGGTGCCATGCAGTCGTAGTCTTGCACGATGAATTGATACAGATTCTCAAACGGGAAGGCACGTAATAAATCCTTGTGTCTGTCTTGGCGATACTGCTCGGGTGTCTTGTCCCCATAGCTGGTGTGCCTCGGGTTCGAGAGTCGATTTATGAAGAAAACTGGTGAGACTTGGACTTTTTTGACAAGGCTGCTGTCGATGACTCGGACAGGTCTCCCGTCAACCCACATGGGGGTTGGCTCTCTGAATGACTCGATGGATTCAAAGCCTAACACGTCAACGTCTGGGTTGTAGAGAATTGGGGGGCACTTCTTCATAACAATACCTAAGTGAAGAAGATCTTCGAGTGGAAGTCGTATGTCCTTGTATAATCTAAGCACCTCTGCTCTGCTTTCTTGATTGACGGAAAGTAAATAAAGTAAATTGATATCGGGACGTTCCTTAGTTTTAAAGTGTTTAGCTATCCAGCACTCGTCTTTGATCAACCGAGGAGGAGTCGTCATACTAAGTCTCCATATCTTGATCCGTAACTCCGTGGGGAGTAGAGGAAAAAGGGTGAATTCAGTTAGAATTTGAGACATTTTGAAAGTAGATTGTGGTCCTCGTGGGTTGAATTGGTCTGAAATGATGGGATGATGATGTATCTTGTCCTTCTGGATATCCAGTTGTCGAAATGACCAACTTATATACACGGTACTAGGACATTGTTTTATTGTTGTTTACCATAAATATTGGAGTTATTATGATTTTCTTCTTCGACGTGAATAGTTGTTTGATGTCTATTCAAACCCAGTACTAGCTTTCCTAAGGGTTTCTTTCTATGTGATTATTTCACATTAAGGTTTCTTTGAATTTCTGTCAAAGCATTCTTCTTTATTCGTAAATTCAATTGCATTATGCAAAATCCCCTCAAGAACAATCGAGTGTGCTAGTCAAAGAAATGCATCAAACTTCATTATGATTGGTCAGAGAATATGGAAGCTGGTTTTTCCAGATATGCTACTATGCATCTTGTGTTCTTTTGTCATCTCTACTCAGTATGTTGGCAAAGAATATAGGGTTTTTTACTTGACACTCAATTCATCACCCCTGGCATGACGAGCCGATGATCTTAATCGGTATCTTGTAAACTGAAAGGTCTCATAAACATTGAAAAATGATTTCATCACGTCAAATCACAGTGAGGTTGAGATTGAAGTCGAGATAATCTAAAGATGTTCGATTTGTGGTCAAGCAAGGAATCAAAGTCTGTGTCACTATTCTTGCCAATTTCAATCCCATCTCGGCTATCTTCTCCCCTATAACTTCATCTAGAAGATGAAACCCCCCCAATAACCACCACCTCATTAGAATCAAGTTTCTAATAGAATATCACAACAAGTAAAACCGAGGAACCATCGCATGTTAACGCTGATCCTGTTCCATCTTTTCTCCCAGAAGATGAACAAGGAATATCTTTCAATAATCTCTACCACATTATTAATAGCATCATGCTTTCGGAGTGAAGTATAGTATTATAACGAAAAGGACCGGGGAAATGCTATGTATGTACTGGCGCTCTGATGCGTGGACACTTTTTGAACTCGCGTTTATTTTCTGTGGAGTATAATCTCTCATCCTTGATGGAATCCAGTATTTCCAGGAAAATTACATCTTGGTGATGTGATATTGAACTGAGACGTGCATTTTGATTCCGCGCATTCTGTAGCCTATGAGTTCCAGACTCAAAGTTGGGCTCGCCGGGTACTGCCGATATCGAATATTGAGTAGCGGTAGCCAAACTATGACTACTGCGTACAAACTGTACAGTAAAAATTGTTCCAATGGCGGTCGGGGGAGGGGAGGGGGGTACACGAAATGGTTCCCCATCTATGTCATTTTGGGCGAATAGATGTGGTAATGGAAGAAAGGAAGGAGGGATAGGTATTCTACCTTTCTAAACTTTAAAATGAAACGTTGTTGTTAGGGTCCGAAGGTGGTAATGTCGTTTGTCTACGATTGATTCTTTCCTGGAGATGTGGAGCAGTACAGTACTTTACATTTTTACTCAGTATGTGTACTCAGTATGTGTAGAGTCTCGAACGGCTTCTGAAGAAAAATATTTTTGGAATTGGTAGTATTAAAGGTAGCAAGTAGTATCTCAACTTTCATCAATCATGACTGGTGATGGATGATAAACACTTAGAAAAAGGCCCTGCTGTATGTATGCCACCCGCCATCTTCTTCTTAGTACTTACGCCTCAAAAGACTCGTCGATCGATCCTGGAATAACCTCTGGTACACTAATCTATTTGTTCCCAAGTTTAGTCAATCGTATCTGTTTTCCTTATATCTACCTACTCTGTTCGTCTGCAATGGCTACTGAAATTTGTCGTTTTAGCTCTCGAATCTCGCCAAGATTGCAGCCTTCCGGTTTTCGCATCGGATCAAGCTCCTCGCTCATCCATAAACTGCTTTCACACACCACCAACCATTGGCCGGTATTCCTTGTTTACGACTGTACCACTTAAGACCGAGGAAAAAACCCGTCCGTGACTGGTGCATATTCAGTCTCGATGAAAGGAAGCCAAGACCCTTCAGCCCAGATTCCCAGTACTCCACCAGTCCTCCATATTCCCCATACCATCGCCCCTCTGATGAAAAAAGCTTTCTGCCAATACCGCCAGTTCGTCATCAGAATAATTGAATGGCGGTTGAATCAACTCTTGCTCTTGTCCTAGCGGTCCATTTCCCCCCAAATTCACCACACTAGTGCTCACTGAGTTGGGGTCGGAGCCCTCAAATTCTTGTCTATCGACCCTAGTTGGCTCAGGCAATGATGATGCATGGCTGATTTCATGAGTAGCAGGGATCGAAGCTGAATACAAGGATGGCCCGAATAGACGACGAGCCGATGTTGGTATTTCACTAGATGAAGAATATTCGAGAATTTCCCAAAACTGGCCAAGGTCAATAAGAAGACTGCGATTGGGGCTTTGAGGTGGTGCATCTGGATTTGTATATGTGGATGAAACTGTGTCACAAAGTCGTTGAAGCTTTTCCGCCTATGCGATTATTAGAAATATATAAAGCCATCCGGAGAGGACTTACTCACCATTCGAGCTACATGCGGCCACTCTTTGAAATCTCGAATGAATCTCAGACACTTATCAAAATTGTCTCGTTTTTGTTGTCGCACAATGGGGTCCTCGGCAAAGCACTCCTGTAAATATATCGTTGCAATGATCGCTACACAATGAGCAAGAAATGGATCAGAAACTTTGAAGGATTTGGCTTCCAACATATCAATGTATCTGATGACCCAGCTAGCATGTGATGAGATCAAATCTGAAATATGCTGTAGGAAAATCTCAGGGATGGCAGATTTGATGTTTTTTAATCGAAGTGATAACAAAAGGGGATTATTCAGAAGACAAAGGTTTGTGTGATATAAAAATTGGATAAATAGCCAAGGGCCCCAATAATCTCGATTCGCATGCAAATCTTCGGTAGATCTTTGGGAGAATTTGGCTGATTTAAAGCGATGAATTTGTGAGGTACGGGTCTCAAAGTCCATTTGCTGAGCCATTATTATTGCGTAGTCTGATTGGGGAGACCATGGAGGTAAAGTACTAGGACTTCCACGTCTTCTCGCGTAACGAGTAATCTTGAACCACACTTCACTGAGCTGAATTGCATATGCAACGACGCCTTTGTCCTGAGTATCAGGAATTGAGAGACTGGGAGTTTCTCCGCTCGTGAACTGGCCGGGATTCAAGGGTCTCCCTGTGGTTTCCGGATACCACGGAAAATTGTCCTCACCTGCGAAATCTATGACGTTGAATTCGGCGCCATGTAATCTTTTGAGAAGGAACAAGCTCCAAAAGCATCGTCGGCGTTCTTCACGGAGTGAATTTGATAAAGGAGCGTGACTCTCTGCTGTGAGACCTGCATTCTGGGCCAGACTCATGGCCAGACTACTGTGCACGCTTGCTTGTCGTGTATTTCCATCTAAGATGTGTGAGTTGAGCTTTAATTTCCCGACGAGGAGTGCATACTAGTGAAGTCCACTAGACTAAGAAGGCATAGAGACTGTAGTGTGGAAAGTTCCACTCGACCTCCGAATATCCTGCCTGAGATAATCGATCGAGCTGCCTCTACATATCCAGTGACAAGCTCAGACTGGTTATCAAGGAAGATGTCGTCGTCTGAGAAGCGTATCGCTAAAGCTAGGACCGAGAAGATCACCTCTGGATCGCGCTCGTTGATTGATTCAACAAAATCCTTCCGGCAAAACACAGGAAGCGGCTGACAGTCGCAATAAAGCAGGTAAGTTTTTGCAATGCTCACGATGGCCTCATATGGTGGTAGCTTGCTTCAAATTAATTAGTATTACCATCATCAAAATGACTGCACACAAATTCCTCACCTACTCGAAAGTCTAGAATCATTGGGCGTCCTAATTGTATGTTCCAAGTGTGACAAAACAGGGGAATTCGAGATATGCCTTGATTCACTCCTGCTCGTGGATACTTGATTTGAAAGAACCTCTGCAAGTTGAGCCTCGACTGATTTTAATCTGTCTTCCTGGTGGTGTGTCTCATTAGCACTTGGTTTGACACCGAAAGTTTTTACTTACTAAGTTTACATCACTGAATGATCTCAAGTGCGTCTCCTGTACCCGGCTCGGTGTTAGCATCGGAGTTCTTTCAGTTGAGGTTCTCTCGTTCACACGATTTAATCCATCATCAGCATAGTAACAATTCTGTCTTAGTCTCGCACAATTCGAACATATTGGCTTCTCGCCTGGGCATCTCGTTTTCTTGCGCCTAATCACCATTAACAATCAGTCAACGCAACGCAACGCAACTCAATATCAAAATCATTTGCTCCCATCCCCCACTTCTCATGCTCGCTGTTCCATTAATCTATAGACGGCTATTACGTACCGACATGGCTCACATGCTTGGCGAACACGTTTTGCAGGACGTTCTGACATTGAAGCACTTTCAATAAAATGTGCAATAATGATTTGATGGCATGAGTGGGATGAAGTATTTCGTTGATAAAGAAGTCAATGCAATGAATAAATAAGGTCGGATGTAGAAGCAGGGGTTCCCGGCGGAGAACGGAATGAACGGATGTTGTTCGGGTAATCTCCTTTTTCGTATATCTAACCGGCGAGTAATGTGATAATTCATATCTGAATATTTTTATGGTCAATGTGCTTGAAAAGTCCATGAGTGTATTCAGTCAAAGTCAGATATGAAGTAAAGAAGATCATGTAGCTATTTTGAAAGGTCTAAATATTGACAAATGGTACGAGATTGGATATCCAATAACCGAAGTACTCCTCAAAACGCCAAGAAGCCCGGAACCCGACAAAATTATAAGCAGGCTCTCATCTCCACCTCTGGTTGTATACCCAAGACCTTTCTCTCAATATCCAAATACATATCATACTCATTCATCTCCTCAATCGTCAATTTCTTCTTCTCATCCAACACCTTGTAGTTTGGGTTGTGAGTATTCGACGAGAACCCAATCCGTTCGTTGATATTCACCCTCTCGCGGGCACTAGCTGCCTGCACCCGAGAAGCTCTAGGTTTGCGAGTTTGCTCATATAACTTTAGCCCCTCGCTGATGCTTGCTTTCGAATTTGCAAATTCATATCTTTGTCCGAAAATTATGCCTAGCGCGGCAGCATCTTCCAAAGCCTGACAAGCCCCTTGACTCTGGTCTGGAAGCATAGGATGCGCTGCATCACCGAGAAGACAGGTAGTCCAATTTTGCCAATATGGATATGGCTGATGAGCGAATAGTCTCCATGGCTTCACATCCGTCGAATTTCTGAATAACGCAAGGAGCTCAGGGTCGAGATCCGGGAATGGCTTGAGGATATCCTCAACGGTAAGCTTGATGTTCCAGCCTTCACCGGCATGGGGACTTTCGTTTCCTGGAAAGAAACAATAGAATGAGTGAACTTCTCCGTCTCGGCATGGTGAGAAGACAATCTTGTGAATACCTTGTCCACCCCAAAACTCGATAGCATTATTCGGTGACAAATCTCGAAGCCCTAATTTTTTCGCATCTTTCGTCTCGATAATGCAGTGCAAGCATGTAGATGTAGATAACTCTCGATCTGGCACAATTCCTAAAGTCTTTCGTACTTGTGATCCAATCCCATCTGCGCCAATAATCAAATCATGTTTGACTTGTAGACCGTTCTCGAAAGTGGCAATCCCTTGTTCATGATCAATATCCGCGCATTTCTGGTTGCATTTCAAAGTTGCTGGTATGCCGGAATGATCTGGTCCGGTAGCAGAGTCCATCAACATTTCATGCATGTTGACTCGATGAAACATGTTATAAACATACCCCCATCTATTCTTATAACCTGCCAAATCGTATACGTTTTGAACCTCTCCTGTTCTCCAATCATGCGATATGAGCTTTTGCAGAACCACAGGTCGTCCGATTGGAATATTTACGCCCCATTTTTCAAGCCACCTGGTACCGTTCGCCGCACATGATATAGATGCACCAACTTCTCCAGCAAAATCCGCTCGTTCATATATTGTGACTCGGTGGCCGGCCTGTCGTAAACTTGTGGCAGCAGCAAGACCCCCTTTTCACCGGGTTGATTAGCGATTATGAAGGCCTTCATAGGGAACGAATGCATACCTATTCCACCACCAATAATACCTACATCCAACTCTCTCCACGATCTGTCCATTGAGCCCATATTAATTGGTACCGAAATGTTGACAAACTAGAATATGATATAGAAAGTTGCACACCACCCTTGAATATGTGATATATATGAAAACAATTGAGACAAATGAAAGCTTTGTTTTGTCAAAGGAAGAGAAGGTAGAATGCTCTACCTGCACACACTACTCAAGTATTTAACCTCTCTCATCGACTCACCTCTGATTGTTACCTTCCATGAATACTTATTAAGATAGGAGTGTTTTGCAGATACAGTACGTCTGATTCTGAGCTGGATAACTTTCCTTTCCGTACCCGCTTCCGTGTTGAATGAATATTAGTCATTGGTCATTGCCATGGCTTATGTAAGCTCATCCGCCTCCGATCCGTTAGCGTGATAAGCTCGCTTGTCAACACACTGCAGCTTTTATTGAATACAGTTACCAGTCCCATCTCCTCTTCGTTATTCACATATAATCCTATATTGCAAATTTCCAATTTTCAGTCACAATGGCTACTGTTGAAGATTCATCACTCAATATCGGCAGTAATCTCTTGAAAGAGGAGGATGTCAAATATGCACAAGAGCATGACTTGCAGACCTTAAGTATCTACTGGCCAAAACACCCCGATGACGATGAAACTCTCACGAACGCCATCTCAGAGCCTACCACAAAGTTGTCTAAGAAGATATGGGTAATGTAAGTAATCCTGAACCCATCACTGAACATATGAATATCACGTGCTTATGTATCTTTCACCATTCTAACATGACTCAAGCTACATCCATGGGGGAGCATGGCGTGATCCACGTGTGACGTCCTCCTCGATCCTTCCATCGATCAATCGTCTTTTGTCTTCATCCATCTCATCCAAAATCGCCTCCTTTGCGTCAATCAATCATCGCCTCTCGTCCCATCCATCTTTCCCTCAAAATTCTTCTTCAGTTCCTAATCATGCATACCGCAATGCCAAGCACCCTGATCATATACAAGATGTTTGTTCTGCACTGTCTTACTTACAATCAAAATACTCTATCGAAGATCGATATCTACTTGTCGGCCATTCATCTGGCGCTACATTAGCAATGCAAATCCTAATGGGAAGGGAATTTCTGCATTCTTGCGGGATACCATATGAGTCTTTAAGTTTTAAGCTCCCACGATACGTTCTTGGAGTTGCTGGAATTTACGATGTGAGACTACTGCGCGATACATACTCTGCATACAATGAGTTTATCACTAGAGCGTATGGGCCCAATGAAAGAGTCTGGGATGAAGTTTCACCAGCGAGGTTTCCGAACTTCGAGGAATTTGGTAAAAGTGGAAAAGTCCTTGCCTTTGCTACTTCATCAGGCGATGAGCTAGTTGATGAAAAACAAATCGATCATATGGTAAAGAACGTACAGGGTATTGGTGGTGAAGTGGTGGTGAAGAACCTCAAAAATATGTTAAAGGGAACTCACAACAAACTATGGGAGACGGGGGATCTGGCTGATGCAATCGCCGAAGTCTTAGCTCTATCTGATTAGCAAAAACGTACGAATTTAGAGATCTTACGCTACAGTTCGTACTGTAACTTCGAATTGACTTCGCCAAAACCAAAATGATCAAAGACCATTCTATTCCAATCGTTGACCGGTGGTCGACATTCTAGTCAGTTAATCGTTCCCGAATAGACGTTAGATTGGGTGTGTAGCTGACACCAAAACCAGAAATGGTTGTACTCCGCGCGCGTTTGTCATGATATTCCACGTGGAAGCTGGTCTCGCCGCTTATGGAATTCATCTGCAGCGTCGGATCATACCTGAGTGGCTGATATTCTTTGGGAACTTAATTAGGGAACGCCACCATGTACTCTTATCACTGTGGTTATACAGTTGATTTTATTGCTACATTCGATGCCAAGTAGGTATCAGTTTGGTATGCAGCCTTCACATCCAATCAAAAAGATATCTCGACTTAAAGATACCGGTCAATTCTTCCATAAATCCATCACTGTCGCACCACCAATATTCTTGCAATGCTTTACCGAGACTTGTGAAACAATTTGCGGACCGACTTTCGGCTCAAGTTCTTCTATCAGCACGTTCTCTCTACACTTTATAAATGTCTCCCTACCTATGATATCCCTTCTTGCATTCCCACTCCAATTCTGCAAATCCAGTCTCGAACAGAGATACCATAAAAGTATACTTCCCCATCCACTAAGTCTACTACTCTACTTTTAGGCTATCCCTTTATACCAAAAACAGTGATTTTTGACTTTTATAACTTTTTATTCAATCTATATTAATTATAGATTCTTTATATAGTTATTGAGCTAGTTATAGATTTTCGGAATTTTAGTACAAAATTAAAGTATTTAATATTATTTTAATAAAAACAATTGAAATTATTCTGCTCGAGTATTTATTTTTATAGAATATTAGAAAATAGAAAACTATACATCGAACTCCTTTTTCTGAAATATTCTATATATATAATCTTCTATTAGCAAAAATCGTCTTGATCTATCGTTGATGAATTGGAAGTATCGCCCATCAGTTTTCAAAAAAAACTGTAGCTATGGACAACTGTTATTCCAAAGCAATTCAAAATAAGTTTTTTACAAATCAACATTCTCTGTCATCGTGCATTCATTTGATTTGTTGCATAAGTGGTTTCGAGGATGTAGTGTACTCCGATACAAATAATATCTCTAGAAATGGATCCTCCTATACATATATAGATATTCGAGAGCAATGATCGTTGGAAATACTTGCTATTCCGGATGCGGGCTGGCTTGGTACCCAGTGATCTGGAAGTCTCTGACCAACAGAAATATGAGATCGATCAAATCAGGAAAGTTTATTCCATGCTTTTAGCCTTTGTGTAGCTGGTGAGTCATTCCTCTCTGTAAAAATACTGGAAGGACTTAACACAGTCTCAGGGTTGCCATGGAGCTTTTAATATGGTGTTGATTGGCACTGATCCAGATGAAGCCCAACCAAACTTGTGGAACTCATCAATCTTTTTCAATGTATCTTGAAACCGCTGATGGGGAATCTGATGAAAATCCGAAGTAGCGGAGAAAGAAGGGAGAGTATCTCAGTAGAACTCAGTGTCGTCAGTAGTTTGAACCAGTTGGGAAACTGATAGTTTGATGGGCTGTAATGTTAATTGATGATTGGAAATATACAGACTGAAAAACTGAATCGATTAGTAAAATAGCAATTTAAGATCATCAAACTAAATTGCTAGTTTTGAAACTAAACTAAACTAAACGAATCAGCGATTTGGATTCATTAAACTAAATTGCTAGTATAATCAATATACTAGTTCGACTGGTTAATTACTGACTACTCGTACACTGGTACATAGAACTTAACCAGGCCGAATTCGAACCGGGAGTCTTAAGTCGTTTTGGACGGTTAGAAAGTATTCAAAATGACTGTGGCGAAAATAGGCTATAACGATACCTCTTCATATCACTCCCACCAGAAATTATACCATCTCATATACAAGCGCTATCACCAGTCGTCCTTCACACCACCTAGTACCTACAAACCAACACCCAAGAACACACATTTTTAATCCTCCCATAACCCGTCCAAACCATCATCATCACTCAATCTTCATCCTCGCTAAGCCCAGCCACCAAATTCACCCTCGCTTACTACATAAAACACAATACGTGAGTGTCCCTCAACCAAATCTAGTCCTACTAGTTGGCGGAGCTGGTAGCACGTCGGATTCATGGGCACGAATCTGATCAGTCTTCCGCCGTAAACTTAGCCTTGTACATAAGAATTGGCCACCATTTGCCTGGAAAAAACAAATAAAACGGGGCATTTGGGGAATGAGAGCGACTTCATGGATCCCATCCATGGGGTCGCAGGATTTCTGCCATTTTTTTCTGTGGATTTATTTTTGTTTTCGGTAGGTGGTATGTGGTTGAATTACTTTTGGGAGATTCGATTGTGTGGTGGGTGGGTCTCTCTCTCTCTCTGCTTTGAGGATTTCGCGATTGATGTTGTTGTCGCGAAGTGAATTTGCATGAGTTAATCAAAAAAAGAAGTGGATCAATACCGGTATACTTTATCGACGAAAGACATTTCACTTGTTTTATTGATATTATCGCATATAACGACGTAGAAAAAGGAAAGAAAAATTGACATGGTAATAAAGTATGTGGTCGATATGAAAACCTTTTCGTCAACGCTCTTGCGCCAACTAAAACAAGAAGTCTCAATATGAGAGAGCGTATGAGATATTCTTTAAACGATGATAAATGTTATATTGAGAATCGAATAAGAAACTTGCAAACTCATCGCGCGAAATTCAACCATTATCTTCTCAAAAATAAAAATAGAAGACTTCTTCAACAGAAAATAATGATTAGTGAATTATATGCCAATTTCTTACCTACTTATGCCACTTTTTTCGATTTCTCGATCCGAACCATATTGAGTTATCGCTTTCTTCTTATGAATCAACGCGAGTCTACGAAAGTTGATGAAATCCGAATGAACTTTTCCTACCGAGGATGACGGGGGTAGCACTTCCCTTCCAATTGGAAACCTCTACCTGTTTTTTTACAGTTCTCTTCTCAGTCTTCTGCTTGTTTGTCCTTCTGGGGTTCCGTATCTAAAGATCTTTTAGTGCTACTTCATTGGTTACCCGCTACCTCTGGACGAGTAGTAGTAATGAGATATGTTCGTCTAAAATAATCTTGTCTAACCATTTTATTATCATATTTGCCATGCCAACTATTCTCGGCGTGTTTTCTTTAATCCTTTTCCTCGATATCCGAAGGTTTATTCTTTGGCACATGTGACTGACGTGATTTTGAGACCTTAGTAGGTTCAGCATCATTCTTTTGAGTCGCTTGAGCTCGAACTTGACCCCTGTATCTCTCTCTTCAAACCTTATATGCTTGGCTCTTCTATCTGGTGTTACCAGTGGCTGGACGTCGTCAGCACTTGAAGAAAGTAAAAAAGCTTTTGCTGACCACCGATACTGGCTTTTTGGACGATCTCTCGAATTTATTACCTTCTTCATCTGGGGGTTGTTGGTTTGTCTTGATAAGACCTTGATCGGAGCTGCATTCTGATCTCTAGATCGGGAACAGCCCTCTACCGCGAAACAGGACTCCCCTCAGCCATGACAGCCCTCGAAAAGGCCAAACTAAGGTTTGCTCTATGTCTACAAAGCGTAGATGAGACTCACCTGCTTACAAAAAAAATCGAACCTCCTATAATTGTTAAAGAACAAGGGTTGGGCACAAAACAAAAAGCAAAAACCAAGATCCAAAGACTCGGTCTCCTTATCCTATCAATCCCGAGGTCTACATTCGAGCTATCAAGGTATACACCTGGCTGCAGAACAGACCCTACAGAAGGGGTTGACAAAAAAACGGCGGCAAAAGCCTTCAGAACCTGGTGGGAAAATCTACTAGCTATGGACATCACCATCTTCTCAGATGGATCGGAAAACTATATGCGAGGAAAGCATATAGTGGGCTATGGATATATTATCTACCTAGGTAAGAATCAGATACTGGTAGATTCAGGCTTTATCAATACCTAATCCCATGTCTTCGACGCGGAAGCAATTGAGGCATGGACAGGTCTTGAATGTACTTTCAAAGATGCCAGATATACAAACTAGAAAATCTAGATGTGTATCGACAGTATCTCAATTATCTGGTACATATGAGCCAATGTCTCCATGTTATTACAATAGGCTTTCAACAATTGCTATAAGGCTATGGAGGAATACGATATTCAGGTCAAATAATCATTGGGACATAAAAACATTGAGGGAAACGAGGCGGCGGATCACCTCGCAGACCTTGGAGCCAAGAAAGCCTAATAGGACACTGGACTGGCTTTGCAATCTATTTACAGCGGGATTCGATCGATAGCATACAATCTCAAAGAAGATGTCTGCCAACAATAGTGGAACTCCTGTAAGCCTACTCTCTCGCTGTAATACAAACAATAGGACCTGACATACAAAGTCAAACCATTGCCCGAATTCCTACTTTTGTGAGTAGTTCTACAAAGGCTGATAGCTATCAGAACCTCCCATAGGGACTTCAGATGGTATCACAGGAAATTCAAATATACAGGAGATACAGAATGCTTCTGCGGAAGGTCCAAAACCCCAGTACACCTAGTCTACTGCTGGAAGGCAAAAGGCATTTTCGAACAATAGCCAAATAAGCCCCTTATATTACCAGCAACAAACACAGAAGGTATTTACTACTTATACAAAATCCTAAACAATCCCAAGGAATTTGTTGAGCTTCTAAAACTGACAAAGTTCTACAAAAACATATATCTAAGATAGAAAGCTGCAAACCCACATTCTACAAACAAACAATCTAAACACTGCGACAATATACACCTATTACCAGAACCGACTCGCAATATACAACACAAACAAAACCACTAACCCCCTTTGCAAAGCATATACAAAAAAACAAAACCATCAATAGATATAAAAAACCTGATTGAATACCAACAGGATATACAAAAGCACATCCGCAAACGCTCCCCGGAGCACAACAAATATTCGAACAGCTACACCAAAAGCAGTCCACTGAAACGCCCAGCTTATACGATAGCAAGCCCGCAATCTAGGCACAATCGTCTACACCAGGCAAAACAGCAGGACTACCTCAACCAGCAGAGGAAAGAATACACAAATTGGAAGGTAACACACGATTACCAGGAATGGCTGTAAGGCTTTCACTTTTCTTTCTAAGGCACTCTCATTTCATGTATCGTAAAACCATAGCTTAGAATATCTGCATACCCCTAGGGAGGTTTTGAGGGCAGCCCTAAGCTGCTCTCCTGATGTAAAATAATACTACTACTACTACTCTAGATCGGGAACAATGGCGTCTTGAATTATATACGGGTGTTTTCAAATGCAAGAGGTTCGAAGTCAAGGTGGCCGAATAAGTTGACTTCAAAGAATGAGTATTGAATCCATGAGATGGCCGAAATGGTTGACAAATACACTTGGTAATTCTGATGTAAAAATGCAGATGGATGTGTTTAGATTCGTTGCTATTTTGAGATAGAAAAGCAATGCTGACTGGGAAGAGATAGGGCCCTGCTACAAGAGTTCGTATAAGTCTGGTTGAGATCTGGTTTATATATGTGTTGGTAAAGTCCGAAAAGGGTGCATAACATCTTTGATAAGAAGAAATTTCTTTTCGCTGGACTGAGTTACAGTGATACCTCGACCCGAACCTGGAATTTTATATAGCCATCTGGACATATACCATTTGCCGCGTAAAGGATCATGTGTATGAGGTCGGCATTACATTCAGACGGAGTTAAGCTTAAGCTCGAGGTACCGGTAGACATAGGAAGGCATGGTTTTGGAAAGGAGGAAATGCATTTCCTGTTCAGTTTGGTGTTCCGCAAGACAACGTTGTGTAATTGTATCATCCTTATGGCTTGCACACTAGTACAGACAGAGTCTGGATATCTTTATCATTGAGTATGAACTTCACAATGAAGAATTACTGTGCCCAAAAAAAGCTTTCAATGCCTGTAAAAGGGGTAATCATCCAGGCTTCCGGGTGCTTGTGAAGTCATCTTTTGGTAATAAATTGAACCATGAGGCAGCAGTCATAGCTGAATATCTAGAGCTATAGAGCAGATTCTTGTAATCGAGCAAAACCTTTTGTTGTTGGCCGGAGACAATAGAATAGGTAGAGTAGAATATGGCGGATAAATGAAGTGTAGAAAGAGTGACACCTCGGAAGAATAATCTTCCAAGTACAGTGAAGTTAGGTAGGCATGCTTTCCATCAAATCCTTTTTTCTTTTCCTTTTGCTCTCCAAAGGCTTTATTTATAACCTGGGTCTGACAATACAGATGTGCAACAAAACACAACTGCTAAGATAGGAGGGACGGACTTCGGGATCATTTCGGGCCGGGCCAGCTCTCTTCATAATGTAACCTTTCACCTTGTCAGGACTTGTTCTCTATTCACTTCGGAAGAGCATTGAGATTTATATCCATGTGCTTTTCGGCTTCACCCGGTATACCCATGATGTCTCGGATAAATACCGGTCCAAGATTATCCCTCCCCTCCTAGCAACCATGCCAGGTTCAAAATGTTGGACCTGATGTAATATTACACACCCCACCTTCTGTCAATTATTGTTTCTATCCAGACCTCACCCAATCTATTCAAGAGAAATAAATAACCTTAAAAGTACGAGTAGATAAAGGCTTTACTGAGAAGGCCAAAATTGTCTGATTTTGACATCTGCAAAGCTTCCAGCCTTATTAGGTCAACCCCAAAGTCTTGAAAGCCCAAAAATGGCAGCAGTGACCAATTCCAATGTTTCGAGTGTGCCTACCAAGATAGAGGTATGCTTTTTCTAATCCTCTTCTCAAACCCCCGCTAACACATCACAGGTTGTTGATCGATTAACAGCAAGTAGTGAAAAAGTCACGTTAGTCCTCATCACCCCCACCATCCAGATATGACACTAACACAACCCCATCAGCACCACATACGGTCTTTCTGACCAAGTCACTCTTTTACAACATGACTCCGCATTTTCCTCCTTAATTGGCGAAGCTCCCTCACATGCACTACTATTTTCCACCGCCGGCGCAACAAACAACCCCTTCTTCCACGAAGCCTGTGTTTTGTTACCCGAGCACGATGAACTCTACATCACATCCAACCTTCTACAAGCCACTAGCTCCGGAAATTTCCCTACCATCCTGATATCTCGAGTGAAACTCCATCGCCATGAGGACGGCAGTATCAAGTCTGCTGAGTGGGCCAAAATGCGTCCGCCGCCTGGAATAGATATGCCGAATGGAGGTGTCAATTACCGAGACGGGATTCTCTTTTGTGCTCAAGGAAATGGAAGTGCGGGCTCGGGAGGTATTTACTATATGCCGCGCTCAGCACCTCCAAAACCTATGGTGACCAATTTTCACGGTCGAGAGTTCAATTCGGTGAATGATGTTGTAGTGGCTAAAGATGATAGCATTTGGTTTACCGATCCATGCTATGGATGGGAGCAAGATTTCCGACCCAAACCTAAATTACCCTGCCAGGTCTATAGATTTGACCCTGTTACTGGAAGCATTAGAGTGGTGGCCGATGGATTTGGTAGACCCAATGGGATTGCTTTCTCAGTAGATGAGTCTATAATTTATATTACGGATACCGATCAACTTCATGGGGATGGAACTGGGGATTTAATGCGGTATAGACGCTCTTCGTCATCCTATCCCGATATCTTTTACTAATTCGAATATAGTCCTGCAACAATCTACGCTTTCGATATTCACACATCATCAGGTGCACCTTTCCTCATCAACCGAAGAGTTTTCGCATATGCAGCAGATGGCTTTCCAGACGGCATCAAATGTGATACTCACGGTAACGTATATTCTGGCTGTGGCGATGGTGTTGAAGTTTGGAATTCAGCTGGAACCTCGATTGGTACAATTTTAGTTCCCGGCGGTGTAGCGAATTTTTGTTTTGGAAAGGATGGAGAAATGTTCTTGTGCGCGGAGCAGAAACTTTGGAGATTACAGTTGGCAAGGACGACAAAGGGCGCATTGCTTGGTATTTAGTTTGACTATGCTGATATTCAATAGTGGATGGGCTTTTTTTGGTATCCTTGACTCTTTTACATATTCATAGATTTTAACGAGAAGATGTAAATTTCGCCCCCATGAACTCTATGATTTGACACCTACTCAGAGTACTCGTGTAGGTATTCTTATCCCGCTCCTGTTGGGCATGACCAGAACTTGAATCTTTTGATTTACCTTTGAAACATCAATATGCCTCAAACAGGTATAATAAAAAATGTGTTTCTCAAAATTAGCTATTGAAAATCTGAAGGGAAAACAAATAAAAGATTGAAGAAGTAGGATGCGAGGCAAAGAGAGGAGGATACCAGAAGCGAGATCTTGGATGCATGTTTTCCTCTTTTGATATCTGAACAGTCGGGACGAGAAGGTGACAGAATACTGTAATAGTGTACGTATGTTTCATCAGAGAGAATCTTTCGACTCTTCAATTTGAATGGTATACTGGAGTAGTCATAAGTATACGAGTGTTATAAGTAGATAGTATTCTTTAGATAATTATGTTTGCTTTTACTTCCGAACCCCAAATTTGTAAGGAGAGACATTATTATGATGATTTGCTTACAACGAGAGGCAGCCAGACAGTGCAATGAAAAGGTACTTTGAAGTCATTTGACAAGATACAAATTTTGAACGGAAATAATTTGCAAATAAAACAATAAAACGGCAGTATCGAAAAGGGTACAACAAACAAAGGTATCCGGCGTCCACAAGATCGAATTCCACACAAAATCGCGTACCAAAGCAAGCCTATATCCTAATGCGTTTTACCCGCGACGGCATATCTTGCATTCCAACCTTTTCATCATCTCTTGGAATAGTATCATCCAAATCGTCGGTATCGTCTGTATCATCAGAAACATCTTCGAGTGAGCGTTTGTGGTCCACGAAGGTATCTTCAGCACCAATGATGAACGTAAAACCTCGGCACGCTTTATCCGCGTCGATGATCATTTGAAATTGAACCCGCATACTTGAGGAAAAGTCTGGCCGATGCTCTGCCGGGGGTGAGAGAAGCCTTTCAAAGTAGCTCAAAACTTGGGTTGAGAAACTGATGAGAGCTTTTTCATAAGTTATATCGAGACTCATCCCTTTCCACTGAGAATATATATTCTCCATGACGGCATACCGAGCAATCATGCTAGCAAGTTCAGCAAGCTGGGCGAAAACTTCGATTCGTGATTTTACTGCTAAGTTGACATCGAGGGAGAGTAAATTCTAAGGAAGAGCGTTAACTATAATTCTTGCTAATGAGATAGGAATCAGTATACCTCGACAGCAGCTAGAAGGCATACCCATGCAATGATGCCAATTTCAAGACCGATTGTTTCTTCCATCACGTCGAGAATCTCAAGAATTCGCTGGATGGAGCTAGTAGCATCCGGAAATCTTCCACACTTTCCAGCGATCTTTTCCTTATGAGGACTTGCAGACCAATTTGAATTGTTAACAAGGGTATTTGAGTCCATATCTGTAGTAAAGACTACATGTTCCTGATTTAAACATTCTCGCAAATTGCCTCCTGAGTTTGACTCAAATGTCTGAAAATTCTGCAGTGCTCTAAGCCAAAGGCTGCCCACATTCTTGTACGGTTCACCACTTAAATCTTCTCGGGCATACGACATATTTGATGACGGATCGACGATTGATTGGCTCTGTTGTGATGTTTGATATTGCATTTCAGCTCGTTGAGCCTGTTGAGAAGTTGGCTGGGCCATTTGCTGTGGTGCTGGTTGTAGTTTTATGGTAGGAGTAGCCATAATGGGCCATGTAAGAGAGGACAAGTTTCGTATGCTTTCCTGCTGCGCTAGCAGACGTCTTTTTTTATTCTGCTCTGGGATAAGACTTAATAACTGATAATCTTTCGATGCATGATTACTAGCTTGAGCGATCGTAGGCGCTGGCGGCAGATTGTAGCTTTGCTGTTCTCGTCGAGCCATCATCAACCTCTTTTCATCATTTTGTTTGAGAAGCATGAGTTGCCTGTGGTGAAATTGATGTTCGAAATTCGCGAGTTGCTTGAGGCGAAATAAATCTTCATCTTCCTTCAATTGAGGAATCGTGTTTTTGGAATTAGGATGGAAATTTAATCTTTTTGGTTGTTGATAGTCAGTTTGCTGCTGCCGCTGCCGCTGTGCTATTCCAAGCCTCCTTTGCGGCTTTGGGAGAACCTGCAAGTCAGTCTTTCGAGACAAATCTGGTGATGTTAGCCGAGATCATGTGTATATCGATGTTTACATCAACGCACCTTTGACGATTGATGATGAGGAATTTCTGTCGGAAGGAGCTTCGGTTGCAGCAAAGTCGTCTTGTACATAAACTAGGTTTGAGTCGAACGACGCTGGTGTATCAGACTGACTATGCTGAATCTTTGAACGATATCTATCCCAGGGATTATATTCTGGACTAGCAGGAGGATGAGAGCTTGGAGAAGCTTTCGGTCCCATACCAGATAGCCATTCTGAGGCATCATGGTGGACTTCATCGGGATAATGATAGGCAGTTGAGAATTTACCTCGGATGTAAGAAGTATCGTGGACTGAGGTAGACATCTCAAGGGCCCCCATAGATCTATCGATTCCGCCAGTCTGAGATGGCTCATGTTTGTGATCATATGTAGAGACCCTGCGTCGAAGTTCAGATCGAGCGGAAAGAGAAGGTAATGGAGGAAGGTCGCGCGATGTAAATCGAGGCTGGGATCCCGTTTTAATTAGAGGTTGTAGAGATAGCTCCTCTTCACCATCATTCTCTCGGACATGCGCAACTACTGCGGACACCGTTTCTTTAGGAGCTTGGGATAGACTGATATTCGATACGTTCAGACCAGCGAATCCCATGGCGGATTGAAATTCTGCGGGATCTTCCACGGGCGATATAGATGTTTTTGCTTCATCTTTGCGTCTCCCCCCAACTAAAGGCTGCAGTTTCAGGGGTACCGAACCGCCGTTCATCTCCACATCTTCATTAGTTACATTGGTGGAGGTTTCGATGGCAGGTTCAGCGGTGGGTTGAGTTGCCAAAATACTGCTAGGGACTGGTAAATGCATCGCCCAATTTTCAGCATCGGTCTTATTCATATTAAAATGCTTCAGCGCCGAGATAGCCATTTCATCTCTCCAAATCTTGAGAGATACCTCTTCTGCTGTAAGAGATTTATCTAGCTGATGACTTACTTTTATTGAATAATCTGTCGTGGCATGGCTGCCGGAAATAGCTGGAATCATTCCTTGTGGTATCGCACTTAAATGATACTCTTCAACCGGTTGGCCAGATTGAACATTGGGTGTCATCGCCGCCAGCACTGCTGGACCTGACGAGTTCTGATCCTGATAAGATATGGCACTGTGGAAAGGATCTATAGACTTGAGTGCTTTTGGATTTGGCATTGGCATACTATTTGGCATGGCGACCATTGAAATTAATTGTGAGGGTGTAAAGGTGGTTGCACTGGATGTTTCAGATGCCGGGGAACCGATGTATGTTGCCAAAGTAGCCGATGAGCTTAGAGCCGAACTCGAGCCTCCAGAGAGTAGCGATGTGATTGATGGTAAACTAGTTGTTGACCCCTGAGAGCTTTTGGTAGCATCCACCATCGTAATTCCGGCGAGCTTCAATCTAGTGTCTTCCACTTGCTTCAACGTTTCTGCTGATAGATCATGTCCGTTCTTTCCTCCAATCAAGCTGGAGTTCTGTATACCCAAAGAATCCATCATATGATCAGCCCTTAGAGCACTCAGTACGCTCAGTGTGCCCATCAGACTCAACTTCAAGTCTCGCAGTCTCGCCAATAACTTCATGATTTCCTTTTCTTTATACAACCATTTAACTTTGGTCCACACAGTACCACTTCGTAATTTTCGAATAATGCGATCGATCTTTGCGCATATCGTAGCACAATCTCCGATAATTTTGGCTGTAAGCCTATAAACTTGATCTGCATAACGTCCATCTTTGCCATGAAGAAGTGTGGACAAGAGATGAAGCTCATCGGAAAAGGTTTCGAGGTCTCTTGCTAAATCTTTGATGTCGGAAGGGGCATTGGATAGAGCTTCACCCACTTCGTAGATAGTTTTGGATATCGTATAGACAGTTCCAGCCAGTTGAGCAATGCTAGCTATTCCACCGATCACTTCAAGAGCCATAATACCGAGCCCTTTAAAGTTACATCAGTCACAGAAATGTTCTAATTAAGCGAAACCAAAAATTCTTCAGTTCAAAAGTTGTTTGCGATTTATCGACAGTTGATTGAAGTCGTCGTCCTCAAAATCTATCCACAGGTTGCTCTTCATGCAATGAGGCTGAGCTCCTGCAGGCGATGCGATGCTCACTAGTTCCACTTTTGGTACATCCTGGGGGTACCGGTATTTGTTTGTCGTTAAGAAATGCCTAATAATGAAAGAGTCCATTCCGAGACCAAAAGAAGTCTTTGGTATACTTGTAGAAAATTGATTCATCATATCAGAATTATATAGTGTATATACCAAAAAGGCCTCTTCCCGAGTTATATGTGTATATGTCGTTGGTACCTTATATGATATAATTAGTAATACACGGAATGTTCAGATACCGACGCTAAGCCTTACGGATCATTAGCATCATTTTGCCAAGGCCGTATTCTATTCCAGAAACCTCTGGATTTAATTCATAATCAGCCTCGCCTTCGCTGTTAAGACAACTTTCAATTTTCACCTACAATCTTACAATTTTGACTCAGCAGATAATTCAAAATATTGGAAGCCTATTTGGGGTATTTAACTATTCCTTTCCAGCAACATGGCTTCCTCATCAAATTCAGAAGCTCCGGAAGTGGTCTCCTTCAGCACAATGGACGAAAAAGATCCAACACTAATCGGTGTTCACTGCCAATACGAATATTGCAATCAACTTGACTTCCTCCCATTTCGTTGCGAATCATGTCGCGGCACATTTTGCCTCGATCATCGAACAGAATCCAGTCACCACTGTTCACGTCCTGGAGAATGGGCAACCAAACGCCGGCTTGCTAATCTGTCTAAACATTCTTTGGGCGAGGGAAAAATGATGGCAGATGTAGAACAGCCATGCGCGTCACCGACTTGTAAGACTACAATTGGAACGAGTTTATCGACAGGTGTACATTGTTCCATATGCAACCGAGACTACTGTCTCAAACATCGGTTACGAGAAGACCATGATTGTAAACACCTTATACCGATCGGTGCAAGAGTTGGCAGGTTCAACGAACAGCAAGCAACCGCTAAATTGGCCTTTGGAAAGCTGAGGGCTTGGGGAGCGGCACAAAAAGCAAAAGTTGCCACGTCTCGAGTCCTTCCAGAACCGAAGCCTTCATCCGCAGCTGCAAGGTTAGTAGCCGTGAACCAACTTAAAAAGACGGCGAAAGGGGATGCAAAGGTACCTCCAGAAAAGAGAGTATATATATACGTGGATGCGGAAGCTGCGACAACAACTTCGAAATTTCCTAGCGGTGCCTTCTTTTACTCGAAAGATTGGGTAATGGGCCGAGTTTTAGACGCAGCGGCCAAAGGGCTTCAGATAGAAAATATCAATAATCAAGGAACCGACGAAAAAGCGAAGCTTAGAATCTTTCATGTCGAAGCTGGCAGATTGTTGGAGTTCAATGAGAAGGTTGGTGAAGCTTTGGCCAGTGGCAATCGTATAGTGCTGCTGAGGGGTGTGGGACCCGCTGTGCCTGATCTTATTGAGGTCTGATTTTCTTCATACATACGGACATTTCTTGGCGGAATGGGAGTCGGGGATGAGCATATTTTGGAAGATACCATTGCATGAGCCATATCAATTGCACATGACAGGAGTTTGGGTATACTTGTACTTGCCTACTAGTGTTCCATAGACCATAATAGATCTTAGTCATAGTTTAGACATTTGTTTTACATTGAATATTCTCAACATGCTAGTGCATGGCATAAAGAAAAGGGAATATCTGAAGATTGAAAGCAACCTCGAATTGGGCTGTCATGCGTCAATCATGACACAAGAAATCTCTCAATCTACCCTCTTTCCCACCCCAACCCTTCCCACCATCCCCAAAATTCTTACCCCCACATCCCACCAACTCCCCATCCCTCCATCCACCACAAAATCATTTCGTTCCCACGTTCTCGCCACCACATCCCGCGCATACAAACATATCAACCCCTCCACTCCGGCACCTCTTTCTTCTCCTCCTCGCTCAACATCTCATACGAGAATTTCGGATGTTCAGCTGCCCATTTCATAGCGACTTGGATCAACGAATCCGCATATCCCTGTCCGCGATATTCTGGCAAGACAGCCAGCCGGCCCAGGCGGATATACGGCTCGATACCATCGTACAGGGTGGATGCTTTGTCAATTTGGTACGGGGGATGCGATTGGAAGAATAAGTGAGAAGGAGGTGAGATCTCTGCGTCAGGAAGGGCGGTTATGATGCGGGAATTCGGGAGAGGACGGATGTGGTCTGGGTAGGGCAGTAGACGGATGGTTCCTACTGGGATATGTTCTTGCTGTGTGTTTGTAATAGTGGAAGCGACGGGAGTGATAATAGGCGCATAAATGACAAAATGCACAGAACGTGCATCGTCATTATCGAGGTGGTGGACGAGTGGCACGGCTTGCTGTTCATGAACATACACTTGTTCGCGGATATGACAGGAATCTTTGAAGACAATGAGTTCCGGGGCATGTAGCTGTTTGTAAACGGGGAGATGTCGGTCCCAGGAGTGGAGATGCGGGCGGGGAGGAAGTTGAATGTATATTATATGGGGAGGGCTCGGACGGAAGCGGGATTGGGTATAAGTGTTGTGGGTGAAGGTGGAGTTGGAGTTGCCATGGTGTAGATTCAGGGTTAAGAAATCAACTATTCAAGAAATTGAGAAACTTTGGTGATATCTAGTTCTAGACAATAGGATGGAATGAGATTTAAGTAATAAAGATTCCATCATATCATACCGCGGTTCGATCACGGTTATATACCTACATAATATAATTCCAGTATCTAATATAACAATGAGTCATCCCCCACCGACCAATGCTCACTCATCTCATCCATTCTTCCATAAATAGTAAGCTCGGCGTAGCTACCTAGTAAATATCAATTAACGGATTTCCCGATCATGATCTCAGGCTGTATCTTTATCTCTAAAACGTGAAAATATAACAGAACATAGCATAGCATAACATACCGGTAGCATTAGTATAGTAGGTTTAGCACAAAATTGTATAAACATACAAGTATCTATATACCAAAAGTGCTATAATCTCGTAGCGCAATAAATATAAAGTATAAGTAGAAGTATAAGAGGAATAAATGAAAGAAAATGCCAATGAGCTTACTACTCGTATATATAAATATATAAATGCTATTCCTGATAAGGGGAGATGGGCTCCGTTAGTTAGCGGTGTCAGCGTGACCGTATTTTGCGTTACGTACTGCTCGGTAGTTGTTTTCATCTGCTTTTGCCAAACTTGCGAATGGGTCACCAGGAGTGGGTAGATGTTTTGTAATATGTAAAATCAAATTGTAAAACTAGATTGTTGTATTTGAATATCTAAAGTATTGAAACGTTTTATCCACTATTATATTTCTAATATATTGTTCTTCTTCCTCTCTATACTTCTTTAAAGTGATTATGATCCAAGTACAATCCTCTAATATATCCATATCTATACTTTAAAATATATTCTTTTTCTACTTCTATTTTCATCTATAAACATCTTAATTCCCCCTCATGTTCGTTCACGGCAGCATCCATGGTCAGTTACAATGGGTGGAGCAACTTCTTGAAATAACTCCAACTTCCCATTTTCACACTTCCCTAAGCTTGCTCACTGTAATTGACAGATAATTGAGCCATCGATACTGTAAACTGCACATCTCCGAGGACACCTGCATCAAATTTATATCCCGTAACATTATTGAATGCCGAACAGAATGTCTACGGTACCTTCGCACTTCTCAGCCTTCTTCAAAATCGGCCGGATACGGTACGCGTGTCGCTCAATATATGGCTTGATTCTTCGACTCATTACCGCCATTGTGGTTTTTGAAATTCACCAGGTCGAGTTGTGATCTGAACTGAGAGTTGAATAGATTGAGAGCATGGGCCCATCCAAATGCATCAAAGTATATACGTGGCAGGATGGTAGAACATGCCTTGCTAAGTTGGTAAAGAGTATCGCTACTATTGATCCTCCTTAGAATGATTTTCATCACTTTATCACAAAGCAATCTAGGAAGAAGTGTTATCCTTATCAGAGTATCCTGTGGCCCCAAAATACCAGCTTGATGAATCAAAATCCCGAAGTTGTAGGGATTTATCTTAAAGCAACTCTCCTCGAATCTCGATCATGCGTCTCTGATTTTGAGATTGGCATGTTGGATTTGCGTAAGAAGAGAATAGAGGATAAGTTATGCCGGGGCTCCATCTCTTCTTTCTTGCTCCATAACAATTTTGTCTACTGCTTTTTCGATAGTCTTGAAATCAAAGTTGGGAAAATCTATTTCGAGGGCTTCATAAATATCGTTACGGCGTCATCTTCAAACAACGTTGTTTGCTCATCAGGAGAGCTTGGCTTCTTATCAGGATTTTCTGGATAGTCCCCCAGAAATGCACTAATCACTTCGATCTCTGGAATTTCATGTGCAATTGCGATAACATCACAGTTTATCATGCTTTCGACTGACGATCTCTTAGTGAATCTATAGCTGATATGATCATGAATGATGGGATTATAAAACCTTCCTCTAAACATTCGCTCCTTGTTTCGGGATTACCCAAAAGATTCTGATTCCTTGCGTTGTGTTGGTGTTAGAGGTAGTATAAATGATGGAGTCATCAAGTACCACTGCGAGCTCCTGTGAGGTGGAACGTTGCCCTGTGGGCTTCCTTCTTTTGCTTTCATGATGTCTTGGTATATCTGCGTGTGAGGTATGCGATCTTTTTGGATTCCTTACTCTTAAATCTAATATTGACGAAAAGAGAAAAAAGAAAAGGAAGAAAGTGAAAGACAGCGAACTCTTTGAGGCATATCGAGCCCTAAAAGCAAGTCATATTTGGTTCCAATCCAAGTCTTGAATTAGCGGAGTCAGTGAAAAGTTATGAGGGTAGTCTTTTGAATCCCTTGTAATGGGTGTAAGAACCAGTGACGTGGATGTGACCTACTTTTGGGTTCGAAGCCTCCGACAGCTGTATCTATTCATGGATGTTGTGATGGGTGATGTTGTCACAATACTCTTGCTTCCTGTAAATACTCACACATTGATAAAAGCATGGCCTAGGAACCGAGGCAGGATGCGACTATTCGAAGCATATCATATTAAATCCATGTTACCATTCTTCTTGCTTCCATAGTATCATATAATCAATACTTGCAGAGTCACTGTCAAAGTATGGGGGGACCCTTTTTCTCGTGTATCTTGTTGGAGAAGGAGTTGAAACGATTGTCACGGTGATAATCTTATTCCTTATATCATTTAGTTTCTCTCAAGCCGGATTGAGCACTCACCAGAAACTACATAGGTACCGGTAGGTAACGAATTTCGCCTATGTATTATGACTCGATCGGATTCACTCGGGTGCTAAACAAAATTGGGTTAACTACAGGGGTTTCACCCATATATTATCATATGTGCAGACTCTGAAGTACAGCAAGATAGAAAATGACAGAACGGGCACAGATTTCGATAAAGTTTACAATGAGTTTTTGTTTCACATCATGGACGATTGTGTAACTTGCTTTGACAGCTAGTTATAGATATCAACGATTAAATATAGTATACATGCTCCACCATTTCTCACCCTAGTACCATCTCTACTATGTAGTAGAAAAAACAGTGATATGTTTAGTGCTTCGAAAATGCTTCCAAGCTTTCAATGAAATCTTCTCCGGCCTTCACAAGATGTGCCATCAAAGATAACATTAGAACACGGAACTCTTGTTCCAACCGGCTTTCCATGAGATCTTGTAAGATAGTCGGCTGGGGTCCATAACAAAGGTCTTCATCCTCACACGGCCCGAGTATCTTCCCAAGTTCCTCTCTTGGCACCATGAAGACGATCAGCAGCTCCGTGAGTGCGGGCTGCAATACCTCGTCATTGATATTGAGTCCTGCAATCTTATTAAACGCGCGCATATTCTCCTTGGGATTCGCATCTCTTCGCTCGACTTCCTCTCCCAGTGTTATGTGACGTGCTTCAGATAGGCCCAGGCATTTCCCAAGGTCGTTGTTCATGAATGGGGGGTCTATGTTCCCGACGGTTGGGATCAGCTTCTTCAGTATCAAAGGTCGAACACAGCGTTTGAAATAGGACATGCCGAGTTGAGATCCAAACTGGCTGTTGAATTTTTCGAGAGCTTGGGACCATGTCAAGGCTTTATCGTAGATATCCGGAAGGATGGTAGAGAGTACATCAGAGAGTTGGAATTTGGAACACTTGAGTAGTTTGGTAAGAAAACACTTGCTTTCCAATACCTTTCGTGCTTTAAAAGCTTCGGCTTCTTTGATTAAAGCCTCGAAGCAATTTAAACTGATTGGTGTCCATGCTTTGCTGAATATCGCACAAGCTTCTTTCAATTTGAGGCCGGCATGCTGGATTCGCGCAAGAAGAGAATAAAGGATCAAAAATACATCTAGACCATCTTCCTGCTCGTCCCTCTCTTCATTCTCCGGTGATATAGTTACCAACGCTTTCTCCCTGGTTTCGAAATTGTACTCGGGAAAATGGGGTTCGAGTGCCTTATTGAGGTTTCATAAGAACTCACAGTTGATCTCTATGTTATCAAAGTCTTCCGAGTGCTTCTTCACGAAGTCACGTATCGCCAGGAACTCCGGAGTTTCGTGTGCTCTGGTAAAGCTGGATGTACTTGCTGGGTGTTGAGCGGCATCGTGTGATCTCAAGTCGAAGGCGACGTTAGAGGTAGTTTGAATAGTAGAGCTGTCTAGTGTCACCTTTGCGGGGACCTTAGATATCGGAGAAGTGGCAGCATTATCTGGTGCTGTTTCTTGAGGTTTGTCCATCCTTATTGAGGTAACGATCTTCTTGTGTGTGTTTGTGTGTTTGTGTGTAGAAATTCATGAGCTATTCAGAATATTTGTCTTTGGAAACCGATGTTGATGTTTGAAAAAGAAGAGGAATAAACGCTTTTAAGCACATCAAGTCCAAATAAACAGTCATGATCGAAATTAAATTTGGGATTAAGTTAATCAACAGAAAATTCCAATCTGGATCTTCGAGTTAATCCTGTAGAAAATCAGTTAAATGATTGTGTGCTTTTGTTTTTTAAATAAATAAAATAGATGTGTATATTAACAGACAGATACCGAGACAGATGTGTCTGAATACCCTTGCTTCTTGTAACTTCAAGTAGATGTGAATATTCAAATTCAAGTACTAAACTTGGACTTATTACCGAGATTCATTGATTATCATCCCAAGCTCCAATAATGTAGCCTTATGGCTAACTACAAGGCAATAACAGCTTGGAGATATCGATGTACACATACTCATATCAGCTCTAGAAATAGACTACTAATCGTTGAATATCGTACTTGATTCACACCACAATAAGAAATTTCCCCGTGGACTCTAAGTTTTGAATACTACCACTAGGCAAATCAAGAAAATGATACTATGGTACAGAACCATCTAACACATCAACCTTAAAATACTATTGGTACACTCGCCACTACTCAAATACCCCTTGCTATCACAAAACTTTGGTCTCCCGAGAAAGGTTTCAGGTTTCGCCTTCAAATATTCCATTACTCGATCCATAAAGTAGCTATTCAGTTCTTCAAGTCCAAGAACAACACACACAAACCAAAGAAAAACTGTCCCTTCAAGAACGGCAAAAATCACTATCTATTCACTATTCTTAATATCCAATCCAATTGCAAGTGAATCTCGCTTAATGAAAGCAGGCTAGGGGGGGCCGTACGGAATACTATATATTCTTCCCATACCTACAGCATTCAGCAACTCACTGTATATTAATACGAATGATTACTCGAGTTATACCGCATCGTATTCTTTCGACATAGATGTGGATGGACACGAAATCCATATCTTTCGTCATCCATGCACTTTTAGATCATCTATCAACTCAACAACTTGTTCTGCGACTCCCAGAACATCTTTCTCGTGTCTTTCTATTCTATTCATTATCAAAGCCAAGCCTTTAATCATACAATCATCCTCACACTCACACTCATACAAACTCAAGCACCCAAATCCCTCAATCAAAATCCATCCACCCACACAGTATCAACACCCAAAATCCAACAACCAAACCCCCACAATGCCCAAAAACACCCGCAACGCGCAATTTCAATCCTGCACCATCCTCTTCCGCCGCGAATCCTACCCCAATCTACCTGCGCGAGCACCCTTACCCGATCTAGTTGCTTTGCACCGCAGCGGAAAATTATTTGCGAATCCCATTGGGGTTATTGATAGGGCGACGACTGAAGATATTGTTGAGACTTATCGACCTACTGGCGGGAACGTGGATATGGTGAGGAAATTTGTTGGTGCGTGTTCTTTTCTTTTTTCTTCTGGTTTTGTGATTGTCTTTTGAGTGTGGGACTATTGGGTTATTGAGGTTAATATTTGGTAGAGAAGCGATTTACGTCGTTTTCGAGACATGCGTATAAAGTTGAACAGGAAGATGAAGATGAAAACCAAAGTCCTGTTCCTCCATACTGTTCAGACTCTGCTTCCATTACACCATCTAGCATTCAGCATTCTCCAACTAGCGCTCGTTACTCCTCCCTTGAGAAAAGTTTCGCTCCAGCAAAACTATCAGCCAAATTTCCGCGCAGGCAACTAAAGCGAAAGCGAAAACGTCCCAATCTTCGCATCGTCACATCACCTGCTGAACTCGCCGAGCTTGAAAGACGCAATATCCGTCGAGTGCTCTCGCCGAATGTTCCCATCTACTCTCATATATCCCCCAATTCGTCTGCACAATCCCTACGAGCTCAAAATACCGATCTTGAGCCTCCGACTTCTCATTCTCCATCACACTCAGAACAAACCGACACCCATACCTACAAACGCACCCGCTACCCCGCAGATCCTTCAAACATTTCAAAACGCTTCCAAACGACCCAAACTAGAGTCCACTCCTCGCCAATCAGCATCTCATACTCCGCAATTAGTCCCACTATATCCCCCACACACCCTCTCTCTCCATCTCCGCAACCTCCCTCTATCATTCCCTCTTCCCCCTCACCTTCTTCCCCACCCTATGTCACCCAGCCCTATCTCACCCAGCCCTATCTCACCCTTCCCCCGACAGCTCACTCACTAACACCCCACCAATACATAACCGCCATCCACCGCCTCCTCGCCAGCACCCATCACCCAAACCGATATCCTCTTCCCCCCAAAATAAAACAAAAAACAAAAACCGATATAAAAGACATCGAAATCACCGCGTTAAGAATGGAATGGGTAGAAGATGCGATACGTCTTGATGGGGCGCCGCTGGCAGCGAGGGATTTATATTATGAGCAGTTTGCTAGGCCAGGGGAGTTTTAAGGGAGGGGGAGGGGGGTTTGATAGATTAAAATATTGAGAGAGGTAAATGGAGATGGAGATGTGGGGGATTGTAATTATTTTATCATCTCGCTTTCTTTCTACATATACATAGCATACTCATTCTGAAGAAAAACATGTAAATGTAAAGGAGAGAGAAATCAAAGGGGTTATACATATAAATAAACGAGATTTGACTCTGGCCCCTTGGTGCCAGAAAAACAATTCGCCTCGATACACTCTTCGAATCGTTTTTTTTAGGACACCTTGATTCGGAGTCTATATTACAATTTGTTTTACCAGAGGCCTACATTATTAATATTAATAGTATATCTATTTGAGATATTATATTGAATATAGCCAGTTTCGTGGCGTATATGATGCACGTGCAGGGTACGGCAAGCGGCCGCTAGCGCACGTATGTATATAGCTTCTTCGAAAGCTTCCCCTCTTAATATACACCCAAACACAATATTCCGAAGAAAAATTTCTGATCGCCAGAAATTGTTTTTCGGTCTGAAATTAAACTTTACAAAATCTTAACATTATCAATAACACATACAGCTCCCTACAAGCCAGTATAGCGCCCTTTATAGCACTGCCAAAGGTTATCAACCTGGAAAACGCGGATTATACCAATCCGCAGGATCCAAAAACCTCTTCGAATTTACGAAACTGCTCTAAAAGAAAACAGTGCACTTTTATCAACAAAATACTACCAGTTTTCAAACTGGGAAACAGAGCACACACCAACCCAACCAGCTCAGCGACGGAGGTTTTCAAAACCAAACTCACTGAATACAAACATGCAGAGAGAATTTAATATAAGATTATAATTAACTTGATGAACATAATCGATAAATATATTGATTTCTTTGTAGCAGAAGATAAACAAATAACAATCAGAAAACTGAGCAGCAGAGTTGTAGAAATCCTTATGCTCACTATCGACAACAGATCTAACCCATCGTTGAGTCCAATATATATATTGCTAACAATAAAAAGCGCAGTCTCTATGAAAACACAGGTTACCAAAACCTACATAGAAATCCTCAAAACCTTCAAAACAAGTCAAAACAGGGCAGGCCAAGCAGATTCACCTATATCTCAAGAAACCTTACCAAAAGCCCCACTTAACAATGTACAATCCAAACATCAAGCAATATAAACTACCCGGAGTATAGACTATAGATTACTAATAGCTATTAACTTTATAACCCGGATCAACTGTTTAGTTCTGTTTGCACTAAGAAATGCTCTCGTTAGTACAATCATAAGTTTATCATTGGCAAATATCCTTACTATATCTGCTATCAAAACAGAATAGATTATTATACCAAGAAACCCAGCAACTCAAAAACTACTCCTTTCACAGGAGAATAAAAAGATTATCCTCAGAATCAGCTGAGATATATAAATACAACAATCAGTAATATAGTACAATTATATAGTTCTCAAAGTCCTAGCATCGATTTGTATGCTAAATAGATTCCCAACCAATACAGCAAATCATATGGAAACAGAGATATAAGTACAGATAGATTAATTCCTAATCAGCTGTAGACTCTTCCGATACAAGACTAACCCCTATAATAACATAATCATATGGGTAATATCTTTCTTTAAATCAATACACAGCTTCAGGCTCTTCAATGCTAGCGAACTGGTACAAGAAATCAAGATGAAATCTATTATAACCTGATATAACATTAACTATCAAGATTGATATAACCCAACAAGATATACCAAACTCATTCGTTGCACAAATTGTGGCGTCCGAAAGGACACATATAAGGGACTACAGGAGCTCAACTGTATAGCGAAAGCGCAGTACACTAACTATTTCAGACCCTTTGCAATAGAACATCAGAACTGCTTAGCAGTATCTAAGATAGTGGATAGTAGAATTACAGCATTTATTAGACTATAATTCAAAGTTATACAAAAACCGGCTTTAACAATAGAAACAACAACACTTATTAACCAGAAAGCAAAGGATAACCCAAAAGAAGGGGTTATCCTAGCTACACCTGTAATCCAATCCTATCCAGCACTAAAACGCCTGGGAATACAGATCATCGAATACAAAAAAGAGATAATAACTGAAGCTACTTCAGCAGTTAGACTCAAGAGAAATATAACAGTAGTAAACTGACTAAGATAAAAATCCTTAATGAATATAAACCTCAATAAAGAAATCTTTACTAATAATCAGCAAGATATCGAAATAAAAGAAATCCCCTAATCTGATATATATATATAAATGCCTGATATGTTAGGTTAATGTATATAGTTATCAATAATCCAGAATATGGGATCTAATAGTTTATTAGACGAATATGAACAGAATACCAGAGACTTATGATACCCTATTACAAATAGCATTTGGAAACAAATCAGATATCCCATATGTACAGGAACCCTTTATATTCTTGATCATAAAAATCAAAACACATCCTGGATGGACCCTATATACACCAATTGACTTGTAAACAGGAATATCCCCTAAACAAAAAAAGATAGAATAATCCCGAGTACTGATGTATATCAGAAAAGGCACAAAACTGCGAATTCAACAAAGGTAACTAATTAAAAGCTACAATATATTTTGGATAAATATAAATAAATACTTTATATTGAATATATATTAGCAATCACAGTTGAAATAGATATTGTTATATATCACTGAATTACAACAACCCTTAGGATGCTTCATCGGAAGCGATTTTAATGTTATACATGAAATATAGCAATCTGGGTTGGAAAATTACCATGGAGGAAACAAATTAGTAATCTAAATGGATCTAGCCGAATTGGATTATATTAAAAAGCAAAGAATATCTACCTATTCGGAAGGAAATGTTCTAGACCTTACCTTCTCCAATATACTATTCGCAAAAACCAGAATCTGATACGATCTATACAATAGCTCGGATCACTTTACTCTAATAACAACTATATTAGGCAGAGGATTTAAATCTTTCAATCAGTACAATTTCTGCATCCCAGAAACAGAACTGCTGAAACTAACAGAACTAGTGGCTAATGAAGTAGTACACTTATTTCCAAGCGATTTTTTCGACTTTTTACAAAAAATAGATAACTTTGCTAATCAACTCATTCAAATAATCAAGCAAATAATCAAAGCGGCAAGAATCAAGGATAGAGGGAAGGGCAAAGCAACCCTCTAGTAGATAGCAGAATATAAGAAAACTTATACCAAATATCTATATAGACAAGTTTTATCGGGGAACCCTTTCAGTACAGTAATCAAAGAATTCAAAACGGCGATCAGAACGGTTAAGTGTAATTATTGGAGATATGTTATAGATGATGTATCCAGTAACAAGAATCTATGCAAAATAGTTAACTAGTACAAGCTAACCTTGAATTTCAAAAGCCCCTCAATCATATCAAATAGAGTAGTAATAGAGAACTCGATAAAAAAAGCTGAAATATTCAGGACAGAGGTTCTGGACTGGTTCAGTGCAGAAGATGATCTGGAGTACGATCTATTAAAAGACTAATGGAAAGAAAACAGCTACCTACCTTGGAATTTATATATTATAATAAAAGAAGTCGAAACAAGTGTTATTGAAATATCCAGCATATCACCAGAAACTGACCGAATTACAGTTAGATTCCTTAAGGCCTGCTAGGACTACTTCAAGAATCTATTAAAACAGCTTTTTCAGTAATATCTCGAATACAATCATTTCCTGAAAACCTGGAAGTTAGTTGAAGTGGTTATAATACCCAAAATCGGTAAAAGAGATATAATATCTATAAGATTATAGAGATCTATTGTCCTACTCTCTTATATAGGAAAGGACCTGGAAAGAATAATTATTAAACAGATAGATTGGACAATTCTAAAGTATGGTATTATTAGTCTTCAGTACAATAGAACCCTACCCAAACATTTTACAATGGATTTGGTGATATTCTTTATATACAACATTGAAATGGTATTGTTAACAAGGAAGGAAGTAATTATAGTTATTATGGATATACAAGGAGCCTTTGATATATTGTTCAAAAAACGATTTCTAATCAGAATAATAGAGCAAGGCTGATCTAAAAACCTATTTCTTCTAGTCGACTTTTTTTTAACAAAAAGAAAAGTCAGAGTAAGGCTTGAACAAACTATAATCAAAAAGTACTTAGTAATCTGTGGAATCTTATAAAGCTTCCCCCTTTCATCAGTTCTGTATATACTGTACCTAGCAGAGCTAATGTCGGAAAACACTGTCCTCAGATTCGGATACACAGACGATATATGCTTATACAGAGTATCCAAAACCTTGGAAGAAAACATTAGATTCTTTGTAAAGGATATTTAAGATATTATAGAATAGGGATTGAATAATCGTGTTGCCTTCATTCCAAAGAAATTAGAAATGATTTATATCTCTGTAAGAAATAGCAATGTAATACTTATCATCAGAGTGAATAAGGAACTCATGATTTACCCGATAATAGTTACAAAAGCAAATATCTGTTTAGTATTGAAATAGCTAGGAATATAATTCAATAGAAAACTGAATTTTCGGAAACATATTATAAAATATATAAATAAAGTCAAGGCAGTGATAAGGTATATATAAGGTCTAGTCAAGGTTGTGTAAAACTTCCCGGTATAATCGATATATAAGGCAATAACAATATACATATTATCTACACTTCTATATAAAACAAAGGCCTGGTATAAAGAAAGATTCAGAGTTATGTAAAAACTCAAACTCGGATAAACACAATCTAGTGCCTACCTAGGCTGGTATGTGATACAAATCGAGAGAGTTCTGGCGATAACGATATAAAGAGTTATACTAGCCTAAAGAATTATACCAATAGCAGTCCTTTACTACGAAACAGGATTCCCTTCAGTTATAATAGCTTTTGAAAAAGCCAAACTGAGGTTTGCCCTACATTTGTAAAGTGTAGACAAGAATTATCTGTTTACAAAAAGAATTGAATCCTTTATAATTATCAAAGAATAAGGT